GATCTTCCTGATTGTGGTGGACTGGACCATGCAATAAACCGTGAGGAACGAGAAGAGGGTCATACACTGCAACGGGGAAAGATCCTTTAAGATTGGATTTCGCCGATGACTTGTGTCTAATTTCTGATTGTAGTCTACTGAACTGGATCATGCAGCAAACTGTGACAAACGAGAAGGTGGGCATACGCTGTTTGCCGATGTAAAGACTTCAGAAGATGATTTGGATTTCACCGATGATGATTTATGATGTCTAATATCGCACATGCTCGAAGATCTACAGGCGAAAACTAACAAGTTGACAGGAGAGACGGAGAAGCGAAATCGGGACTTCAAGTGAATATAGAGAAGACAGAGGTGATGAAGATACACAACCAACCACCACACAACAACAAGATCTAATCACCATCAATAGGAGAAACTTAAATGAAGTAGCCTCCTTTGACCTATCTAGGAAGCACTGTTTCAACTACAGGTGGCACAGATGAAGATGTCAAAACCAGGATCGGAAATACAGCAAGATAGGTCTTCATTAACCTAAAATCAGTGTGAAGATCTACTGCACTCCACTCCACTCAGCATAAAGCGTGAACAAGATCCGGATTTTCATTAGTAATGTCAGTCAAGTAAGGCAGTGTTTCTATGTGATGGTTAAGAGACTTGTCGCACTACAAAAACATTTCCAACAGACTACAGACATTCATCAACAACTGCCTAAGATGGCTCGATACTGAAGATCAGATGGCCAGAATAATAAGAATAAGCAAGCGGGAACTCTGGCTGTCTGGGAACGAACCAACGGAACAAGAACCTATCGCTCAACAAATATGCACTAGAAGGAAGTGGAGATGGATTGGGTATGCACTGAAAAGACCATTCGGGGACACCATATGCCAGCACTCCAGTGGGACCAGCATGGGAAACGACGAGTTGGGTGCCCGATGGTGACATGGAGGAGATCGTGTGAGGAAGAAATAAGAGCTTGTGGACTGTCATGGAGCCAGGTTAAAAAATTGCAGAGAACAGAGTGCACTGGAGACGTGCTACTGAAGCCCTATGTTCCACTAATAACCCAAGGGATAAATAATAATAATAATAATGTGGTCTCAGAGACATTTTCTTTATAAAATGTTTTTCTTCCTCTTCAGAATTCATCAATCTCTTCTGCATACTTTGAAGCAACAGGTAAAACTGAGAATGAATGTTCCGCATTTTTACTTTGTGCAGTGCTTCACTGAAGATGAATTGTACTGAAATATTCAGTCAGAGCGTCTATTTTACTTGTCAAAGAACACCTCAACATAGTTCATTCTACTTCGAACTAATGTAGACAGTACAAGTAAATAAGTCACTAGTGATGGGAACATACCTTAGGGGGACGGCGGGGGGGTGAAGGGTGTATTGAGTACTCTCAAGAGCTGTACTCATTTACTAAAAATAATTCAGAAGGCATTGTTAGTTGGGAAAATAATGTTAAGAAAAAATTCAGAGAACATAATCCATGAGTTACCAAAGTATTTCAACCTTCCCATCAGAATGTAATACACATTCTTCGAAATATGTGCAAGAAGGGATAAAATAAACCTGTTTCACCAATACATAGATGTTTACTGTACATCCCATGTATCGTATATCATATTCGAAAGTCCCCCAAAGAGATCGTGATGTCATTCTGTGATGAATACTACCTCAAACATAAAATTCCACTACCCTCAAAATACATTGGTGTATAGTGGTGGTTAGTAATATGCTTCCAGATAGATATCGCAAAGTTCCAATGAGAAGTCGTAACCAGTGGCGTAAACCAGTCGGAGGTGAAGAGGATACTAACTGAGGATTTTGATGTCTAGTCGCATTAACCCATGAACTGACAAAAATCGGAAAACGTCTACCGTTGAACTGCAATCTGGTGGTTGACGCTTTTGCCATGAAACCTCAAGGTCCTGGGTTCGATCTTCGGTGGGGTGAGACCACAAGTGCGTACTGCTGAGAGATCCCATACTAGGGAGAAAACATCTATCCAGTACTCTCAGATTTGTAAATGATATCAGTCCATGATGAATACTTCCTCGTTTTAAAGTGCAAACAGTATATGTATAGGGATTTACTCATACTTTGAATGTTCAGAAAAGTTTTCATCCAACCGTGAAGAAATATAACCAGCTAAGAGTTTCCATCTATTTCAAACTGCAATACAATTAGCATCAACAGAAAATTTCCTCACCTCCCATCACACGAAGAAAACATATACTTGTAAACTTGTCCTGTATTCTGTTAACCTACTCAATATCTATCTCCTTATTAAGACAAAGAGCCGGTTACCATAGAACCTTTGATTTTATTCAAATAATTTTTTGATATTTTACCTCTAACTAGCTCTCTGAAGAAGCGAGACCTACGCCATACTGAAATCTGGATAATGAATATGCAATGGTCGATATAATATGAGGACCAATCACTCAGACGGCGCTGGTTCGAATCCTGGAGGGTTCAGGGTGTCAATTCCCTTTTAAGTTCCGATAATTTTTTGTACGAAACTATTCACCTATATAATAGTTATACTCTACATATATGTGTGCTTAAATCGATTTTAATGGGGAACACTACCATTATTATGTCATCAGTAGACAATGAATACCAATAACATTTCAACCTCATTATTTATGCATTCCTAATGGGATCTAACTGGCTTCTTTCTATCATAACTTAGATATCTTCGCTTTGTTAAGTAGCTAATGACAGAAACTGTGAACGGTTGAAGTTTACTCCTCTCCTAGGACATTTGTTGACTTAAAATAACAGATAAACCTTGCTGAATATTGTCAATAATGATGAATTTCTCAAAATCGTATGGTTTCCATTACTCATCTTCATGGCATATAACACTGACATAGTACACTATATTCTTCGATCACTTGACTTAGCTAGCAATATCGTAAACCTAGTAAAACAGAATTTAATCACGAGTCAGGCCTTTGAAAATACACCTATTGATACTGATAACGATTTCAAGTTGCTGGTAGTTGGAATCTGAGAGATTATAGATGTTTAGTCCTTACCATATTTATTGTGGTAGATTCATTTATGCACTCAACTTCCAAAAGACAGGTCACAAGTCAGGATTCCTTCCCATCAGACGTAGTCTGAGCAGCCAGGTAGTGAGAATTTTATTTATTCATTATTTATTTTTCCCTTGGGTTCCCAATAGGAACATAGGGCCTCAGTAGCACCTCATCATTTCATTCTCTTCTCTACAGTCTTTCAACCTGGCTCGACCACTGCCCTCAAGCTTTCATTTCTTCTTCACATCATCTCCTCCATATCACCCTCATCTGGGACGCCCAGCTCATCGTTTCCGCTGTGGATTCCACTCGATGACCTCGCCTGGTGCGTGATAACCCCAATCGGCCTTCGTAGTGTATGTCCTCCATCTCCACTTTCTTCTGCATATTTTGTGGGTAATAGAGGTTCTTGGCTGGTTCGTTGCCAGCGTTCCTTGTTGCTTATTCTTATTATTCCGGCAATCTGATCTTCAAAATCGAGCGTAGGCGGCAGCTGTTGATGATAAATATCTGTAGTTTGCTGGAAATGCTTTTCATGACGCCCCATCTCTCTGGACCATATAGAAGCACTAACTTGACGTTGGTGTTGAAATCCGGATCTTGTTGTTTGTGCTGAGTGCAGTAGATCTCCACGCTGATTTCAGACTACTTTTCCGATCCTGGTTTTGACATCCTCATCTATGCCGCCGTCCTGTAATTGAAACGATGCTATCTATGTAGGTGTAGGTGAAAGAGACAACTTCCTCTAGGTTTATCTCGCTCATGGTGATTGGTGCTTGTTGTTGATGCTGCTGTTGTTTGGGTATCTTCATCACCTCTGTCTTCTCTATATTCACTTGAAGTCTTGTTTTCGCTGCTCTGCCTCTTCTGTCAACTTGTTAGTTTTCGCCTGTAGATCTTCAAGCTTATGCGACATTAGACATAAGTCATCATCGGCTGCGAAATCTAAATTTTCTAGGATCTTTTCCCGTTGCAGTGTATGCCCTCTTCTCGTTCCTCACTGTTTGCTGAATGATCCAGTCGAGTCCACCACACTCAGGTAGATCATCGGTGATAGTGGGCAGCCTTGTCTTACTCCTGTCTTCACTTCAAAGGCGTCACTGAGCTTTCCATAGTGGGTCACTTGACATGTGGTGTCTTCATATAGCTGTTGAATCAGGTTGATAAAGATTTGTGGCTTCGTAGTGTTGAAGCATCTTCCGAAGCTTTCATAGATAGACTTGACTGATTGTCTGCAGTACAAGTATCCGCCTGGTTCTTGAGTGGATTCTAAGTGAGTAACCCTATCAGTTTTAAGCATGTAGTTGGAATTCATCTTTAACATATTGATAAACTATGGAACTCACTAACTTGGCACAGGTTTCTGTATTAGGCTATGCGGAATATGTATTGCGTAAGATGTTGCGTCTAATCCAAATAAACAATAATGAATAACTTAGGTTTCATTCTCATTTGTTGTCATTTGATAACACTCTAACTAGGCTGCATACGAATTCTAGACATTGTACATTTGCCATGTATTTTATCCAATACACTATAATAGTTATGGCTTAGTAGAGTCAGTGGGTTATTAGTAGTGGGGTCCAATTGAACATATCAATCTGGCTGAATATTATAAAATAAAGCAAGTGTTTTATACTTCCACTAGTACGAATGGTCATATGATCAGATCAAAACTTAGTGCCAGATGATATCACTTAGTTGCTTATATTAAAGCGGAAAGAGTAGAGTTTGATTTATGGACTGGCGTTTAACGCACATAATCTCCTAAGCTAATCAGTCATATCTCAATATGCCACAGAAGGAAGCAACTACATTTATTCACACCGATTGTTTATTTTCAAAAAATTGTTTATTTGAATTATAAATGGCGCTTATATAAAGAGAAAATAACACAAAAATCAAAGTTCCATTTTTTTTTAGAGATAAAAAATTGCTTACCGCCTGTTTTGAATTGTTTCTTATTTGTAGGACACATGAAGTAGTCTCTGTAGTTGATTGTACCGGTGCTAAAGCACGATGCCAACGTCTACGTCGAACCATATCCATTTTACGTTCATTTGTATGAAATTTTGAATCAAAATTGAATGCATACTCCCATGCTTCAGCTGGTTCCGTACTTAACTGTGCTGTAGATATATTAGAAATAATACATATATATATAAATTTAGTTTGGAGATTGGTATTCATCATGGATAAATATGATTTGGAGAATCATTGAAAACTTGGAAGCACTGAAGAGATGTTTCGTCCTGCTGAAGAGTCTCGTACTGCAGACGAAACACCTATACAGTGTTCTTAGGCTTTCAATGATTATCTAAGTGATGTCATTTCATGATGAATAGCACTTACAGGTACACATACATGTCATAAAAGTTAAACCAAACCGGAGTTTGTGAATACTTGACATTTAAAAAAAGTAGATCACATAGTGGTGGCTAAATTTTAAAACTATACACTGACCGTCGATCTAACAGCAGGATGTCAACACATTGACAATTGGATCAACTTTCTTAACTTAAACACTCCAACGGAACAGACAAACAAGAACACTGGTTGATGACTGGATGTAAAATGAAGATTTAGGTAGTGTCAAGAATCGAACCAGCAGCCTTTGAGTCACTGACTTGGTGCTCTACCAACTGATTTACTTCAGTCACCAAAAGAAAAGCTGCTAAATTACATTAAAAGGAGTGTGCTCAACTCGCTCAAACCCTTTCACGATGATATATGGGCACCGGTTTATAATTCGCAACAATTATTCCAGAACGAGAGATAGGACCTATAGAGAAATAAATCTCGACTGTTAATCGTAAAAGAACTCACGTAAAAATACTGAAGATCGATTGATAGTAAAATGAATTTGTGTCATAGTTAAGAGGACTCCAATCTTTATTCATCTAGAAGCTAAATGACATAATGTCTATGTTTTGCCCATAGATAGAAGAAATGACAGCAACAACCAATCAATTCGAATGTCCTTCACATGTCTGTCTTCAATCTCATTCTTACACATTCTGATTAGGCCACCTACTCTTTAAGACTGCACACTTCCCATGTATTTCGCTAAATGTAAATAAGTTCGTATTGTGTATGGGCTAACCATGTAAATTGGCCTTCTCACTGAGTCATCTGGTGTGACGTTACCGGCCAGTAGGACCAACCAGAACATAGCAACTCCAGGGATAGTAATAGTTAAGACCAGCGTTCGGGCATCTACTTCAGCCCATCAAAGCCGATAGTATAACAGTGGAGACAATGTTCAACGTAGAGGTATAACAATCTGGAAGCAAGTTAGCAAAATAATAAACGTCAACGAACCACAGTTAACAAAGACACCAAATTGTTGAGTTTAATTGAAATAAATAATTTTCTTACAAAGGGACGCATTCAGAACACTGATATATCTTGTTAGACATGAAGTTAGACTGTTGTAGTAGGAAATAGGTGAGGCTAAAAGTTACCCCCAAGTGCTACAGGTATTCTGCGTGAAAATACGTAATTTCTTTCTTTTGTGTGCTTATATTTTCAGTTGAAAACTGAAATCATAAATGCTTTTTGATGCAGTTTGAAGGCTCAATAAACTTACTATCATTTGTGAGCATCATCCCTATGAAATAAATGTACTCATATCGCAACTAGGAAGAGGATGTGATATCATAAAACATGATTTAATGACAGAGGGTGTTTTAGAAACTATACAAATAGGTAAAATATGCATACCGCATACAGAAAGTAGGTGAATTTGTGCACAGAATGGTATGTCCCATAAAAAGCACGGTAACACCTAGGAATAACCTTAGTCTCACCCGTAGGAGAGACGGAAACCCAGTCTAATTGAGTGACTCCAATGGTCACCCTAACAAAGACTGAAATAGCCAATCAGGTTTTCTATTTCTGTTGGAAAGGCAGATGTTCATAAAATAACGACGTTTGATTGATTATTTCAGGTGTTGTTAGTGTGACCTTTACAGTCACTCAGTCTAACAGCCCAAATTCAAACCGTTACCACTTACTCAAACTCTTAAGTAAAAATAAATGGCTCAAAAAAGTATACGCACGCCTTCTTGTAGAGAATTTCTGGAAGCAGGGGACTCATGATTAAATAATAATCAACAGACAGCCAACTAGAAATCAGTCAAGCAAAACAGTAGCCAGAGTTCAAGTTCACAGTCTTGGTCAAATGGTTACGAAAATTATACGAAAAAAGAAACCATCCATACCTATAAGCTAATAACCCCCCAAGGTCGGTAAACCTCCTTCAGAGACATGCAGTTTGATGACACTGTTGGTACTGATTAATTCATTTAATCTAGTGACGAGACTTCTAAGAACAAAACTGAAAAATAGAACGACCCTCAATTAATTCCTAGATTATTTAGTGTACAATAAGATATTTCATGAGTTCTTTGAGTACTGTTTGAGACATATGACTGATGGTAATGTTTATGCAAGCTGGGTAGGTAGTAGTGGCAAGAATAGGACAGTAAACTATGAAAATATTTATGACTTCAAAAGCAAATATTTTTCATCACGCCTAAAAACTTGCTGATAATTCTCCCAATGAGAGAAAATCATGAGTAATTAGAAAAAACACTCCATCTAGCCTAGGAAGACTAGAGTGATTTAGACACCAGACTGCCGTTTTGCTCACTTATGCTTGAGATCATCAGAAGTGTACATGAACATATTCGGTTCAAAGGGCAGATTTTTTCTGACCAACTTTAGAAAATCGTTAATCTTTTCTAATTACTCATGTTGTTCAGTGGTATATTTCATTAGTTCATTACATTTTTGTGTCAGAGATCACATTTTATGATGTTGGCTGACAGGTGGTTTCCAATGGCAATCTTGCTGATGCTAAATTTGAAAAACTATTCAGCTATGAGAAAGGTGAACTTGGACCAGGTAATTTGTACATCATTTGCAAATTGATTATCCTTTTCAACTTCTATTATGATCTACTAGTTCGACGAAGTAAGAGCATCCCCTACTTCAACACAAGCTACACACTACTACATACTAACAAAGAATTTCACTAAGTAGGTCTAAAAAATAGAACGGAAACAATTTGAATCAAAAAATAACATGAATGTTGGTTAAACTAAAACAAATATAATGCGGTAGATTAAGATTATGTCAATATATATGAATAATAATAAAGTACATATATGAACTGAAACGCACACACATACACAGAATAGAATAGACTCAGTCTGTACGTCAAATAAATCCGACAATCATCATATACAGGGCGACATACTAGTCAGTGTTCAATGTCTTTGTTTAAATTAACCAAATTACATAAATATGCATAGCGTATATCCCTCAAGGTCAACGGTTGTCACAACTACACATGTAAAGCCAAAGAAGTTATGTATGCATGGTACATCTGGTTAACGCGAAAACGAATAGGATATACATCTCACCTGTTTATTGTAACCAATGCGTATTTTTTTTAATAGTTTGTTAACTTAAGCATACATAGAATGTTTATCGAAGTAATTATACATTTATATTTGCTAATTATTAATTGTTTAGCTAGTTAATCTGATTATCAAAGTTATACAACTTACTAATAAGGATAGACGTGATTGCTATAAAAGTTGAATAAAAGTAATTGTAGTAGTAGTTGTGGTAGTAGTACTGTTGCTTAATGGTAGCAGTTAACATCCAGGAAGGATATGCGTACATTATGTGATGTTATTTCAGTGAATAAGTAATACAAAGCATAAGTGCATGTTCACATGTAGTAAGTTTTTTGTTAGATTTTTGCGCAGAGAGAGAGAGAGAGGAGGCAAAATCATATACACTGTTAAAAAAGTGATTCCCAGAGTTTGATAGTCTACTTATTTGTGCACATATAAGTAGTTTATGTGTATAGAATCAAATCTCATCATGGGGTTTTGATACCAGATTTGATGATCTTTATCTAGTGTTGTTCCAAGAAGAATTCTGGTCAGCCTACTGTAACCGTTGACTACATCAAACTACTTCTTCCTCATTAGTTTTAATCTTTAGAATGTATCTTTGAAACGTATCATGTACTGTAGCACACTGTCAACAAGTTTTCAACAAGCCATTTTTGCAAGTCAACAATAAAATAAACAAAACACGTCACCGTAGATACCAATGAACGTTTAACCGGACAACAATACGTCATATTACTATTCGTGAAATAGTTAGCTCTATTATATTAGCTGAAAAGTGGAAAACAATGTGAGTCTCATATAAGTTCGATTGGTTGCATTATTTTACTTATTTTAAGAGTCATTCTACCTATTACTTAATTGTAAATTTATTTAGAAGTAGTATTCATCATGGACTGATATCAGTTGGGGAACCATTGAAAATCTGGGAGCATTGGACAGCTGTTTCGTCCTAGTGTGGGAGTCCTCAGCAATACGCACCCACGACCCGGCTAGGGGTCGAACTCAGGACCTGCAGGTTTCACGGCGAACGCGTTAACCATTCAGCCACCGGGTCGATTCCAGTGGTTCTAGCTCGTTCAATTCAAGAGCTTTCGACTGGCCCCTTTTCTTATCCGTTTATATTTGACTTATATTTCGGAGATAATTGTTTGTTGGTTTAAATCCAGTACTGTACATTATCCCATATTTTGTGCTTGAAATTGGTTGTTTCATCTATACATATATATATATATATATATATATATATATGTGTGAGTCATAGCGTAGGTGGATAATGCATACATGATTGGGTATTTATTTTGGAGACCAATCACGTGCGAGGTCAAGGTTAAGACAGAATCATGTGCTTAACGCAATTACAACCAGGCAGTGTAGTAACAAACTCGAAATGCAGATTTTCATCCTGGCCGAATGAACTATTATCACTGAAATTATGTACACACTTTTTTATTCATTCCCCCTTTTAGACCAAAAGATAACCCAACAACAACTGACTGTTTCATATTATTGCTTGTAATACTTATGTTATTGTCAATATTACCCAGAAATTATAACTATTTCGTTTGAAAATATTGTATGACATGTAAATTTACTGGAATATCACATAGTGCACCATAGTGCACCAAACATACTGTTTTGAATAAATACGATTAATCAGTTTGGAGGTTTGCGGAAACTGATTAATTTCAACATGCTTTCAACATCACATGCCGGCATTAGTTGAAGAATCACCGGATAGCTTTATCGTTCAAGCGTAGTACTCTTCAGCGGTGCACAACTGAGATCGCCCCAGGATGGGATTATTATTATTATTATTATTTACTGAGTATTCGAGTACTGAATTCCATGAACTTATAAGATGTTGGGTAGGTATATACTGTTAACAAATTATGTCTCTGAAGGTATCTGATACAACAAACTGGACGCTTCTGCAGCCTTCTTAATCCGTGACAGAAATCAAATTCGAATATATACATGAAAGAATGATTAGGAAAGACATAGTTTTCGATATTAGATCTTGTGAATTTCCATCGTTGATTGAATGAAGTTGATCGGCCACTATTAGTACACTGTGTGAATGCGTTATTATTGCTAGTATTCTCAATTTTTAAAATTTATGATGGACAATAACTGGCAGTGAGATCCAGGATGCACGGTTCGACCTGTTTGGGATTCGTCAGCAGGACGTGCCTGCCTTCAAGTGGGAGATATTGTTTCAGCTGATATCCAAACCGAGGATTAATTGCTTCAAACGCCAGAGTGTTATCCACTAGGCCACTGAATCACGATAGTCTTTGTACTATAACTAAAACTACCATACTTTACTTGCTTCATATTTGCTTCTAACGTTGTCTAAGTTTTATTCATTTGTATGTTTACTCAGATTACAAAACGTTACCCTTTTTCTGAGTTAATTATTACTATTACTACTACCATTATTACTATGGTAGTTCTGTTCAAATCAGTAAGTTGTTAGCTGTGTGTCTCATTAAAGTCCACTCAGTGTGTTCAATATAGACATTTAACCTTTAATATGAACAATTATGTTTTAATTAGTAAATAAGTCAGCAAGTTGACGATTTAAATGTTGTTTAGCAAAGTATATACTTAGGCGGTTAGTACAATAATTGACACTGATATACGTATATACATGTAAAAAGACACATGCATACAAACACATCGAGTATAAAGTCACCCCTACAAGCAGACTCATTTATGTGTTCACAACATAGACACAGACATCCAAACAGACACAAATTCACATCTTACTTGATCTTGGGCTATCACTTGTCTTAAGACCTGTGATATAAAAAACGTCAAGGGGATTGTAAAGATGACATGAAGCGAGAAAATTACATAAAAATTCATGACTAAAAAAATGATCATTATTTAGATGAAATTGACACTTCAGATATCAGTAATCCTTGATGATGGATTATGGCTAGCAGTGGAATCCAGGATGTGCATTTCGTCCTATTTGGGGCTCGTCAACTGGATGTACCTGCTTCCCAGTGAGTGATGTTGTTCCCACCGGGTCCCAAATAGGACGAAATGCGCATCCTGGATTCCACTGCTAGCCACGATCCATCATCAACATAATTAGAACACTGGCAATATCGAGGCATCCGCACAGGAGCCCATATGCTAATAAAGACCGATCAATTCGATCCAATCAACAACGCTATCGTATAAAAACAATTATACTAATCAGTAATCCATTTCTGAACTGAAACACAAATAGAAGAAGTGGCTAATCATCACGAAAGCTATTTGGTATCAATAATTAAGTATGAGAAACCTTATCAGTGAGCGTATGAATTCTAGAAGACTGAATATATTAGGAAAATTTCATAAAAATAGTCAAACTAAAACTGTATTGATAACACTAAACATCATTAAATGACAGAAGTTGGAAACCTGAAAGTTCCGAGTTCGATCCCTGGTGAGGGAGTGTCGTGTACCACTGAGTTTTATAATGAGACGAAATGACTATCTAGTACTCATAGATTTACAGTGGTTCTCTAACTGATGCCAGTTCGTGATCACTACTACTTTAAAAATTAAATAAACCGTCACATAACCGATCCAGACGTTCGTCTCCCAATCAAAGGGTCCTGGGTTCGAATCCAGCCCCGTGTAACGAGGTTTGGCCAGTCAGGCACCACCATTAGCCACCCAACCATAGATATGGTTCATTGCCTAATACAAGCACAAGTACCAGGGTCGCTTTCTACCTAATCATGTGTAAACTGTACATCTAATTTTATCCTGCACGCAGAAAGATATGAACTGGAGAGGAACAGTAATATTAGTGTGACAATCTGAGATAACCGTGGTTTCACTGACCCGTATCAATACTTTTGGGTGATCTAGTCAAAAGGTCAAACACTAGACTGATGACGCGGAAGCCACTGGTTCGAATCATGTCACCAACGCGGTTTTCATTCCACCTTCAATAATCAACCAGAATCAATGCACAGAAATGTCTCAGCGTATCATGACAAACTAATGACGGTGAAATTTCCTAACCTCAATCAGTAATTAATGGTGGATAGCGGCTAGCAGTGGAACCCAGGAAGCTCGTTTCATTCTATCTTAAACTCATCAGCTGGATATACCTGGCTTGCAGTAAGTGATGTTATTCCCATCGGGGCTCGAACTCGGGGCCAATCGCTTCGAACACTAACACCACTCAATCAGTAATCGATCATTTCTATGAAGTTGATATTTTTGCTGACCAGATACTTCATATCAACAGATTAGTAAGTCTTATGACTTTCTAGCGTGTTGTTTGGTTGGATCCTCAACATAATATCATAAGAAGTTTGTGTAACACTGAAAAGTTTACTGTAACTCACTGAACTACGTAATCGTTTTTACTCACAAGGATTACAACTGATAAAATTCATGACTACCGCTGATCTCAAAGCCAAAATGTTGACTGCAGTTTGCCAATCAGCTAAGCATTGTGTCGCATCAGGAAGGTGGCCTAAACCATATCTTGACCTCTTCGACCTTAGATTTCCCTCGGTCATGGAGGTAGAGAGTTCAACAAGTAACAACAACAAGTAACAATTTCTCTCCAACAAAGATTCTGCAAGTGCACTGCGATGGTGAACCTCCTAGCCTGATGACCACATTGCAAAGTGATCGATACAATTCGGTCAACACTGAGAACTGGACAACATGAAATTGGTTGCTGTCAAGTGACCAATAAATGTACCAAATCCAGTCCTGCAGGAGATCAGTCGCAGCCCGAATAGCTAATTAGTAGCATCATAAACTACAGGTTCTAATCTCAGTGAGGGAAATCAGTCCCTTTGAGGAGTGCCAACAAGCACGAAACCTCGATGTAGCTCAGGTTCCTGCCGATTGCCTTCAACCAATTAACATCTTGGTAGAGGTGTGACAAAATATCTTCCCCAACTCACAACTGAATATCACTCAGGGTCAACAAAAACACTACCTCAACATTCGTATAACATTCGAATATGCTTCACTTCCTAATGAAGTTATTTGTATAGTCCTAAGTACTGACCTAAATTTCCAGCCTTAAACCAACTCACTTTGTATTCTTCTGCATCACAACGTGATTTTCTCGCGGCATTATATCATAAATTAAAAATAAGAATAATTGCTTGGTATTCAGAAACATTAAAATTATTTCCATCTGCTTTTGCACTACAGATTTCCTACAGCTCTAGGGGCAGATTGCGTTCTACTACCACAGTACTAGAAAAAAGCTATGAATTTCTAGGTGAAATTACCAGAAATATGAATTCAAACAAACTCAATCATTTGTGTCGGTATGCAGACTTTTTCAGAAGCATTAGCGGCACTTTCCGACAGTGAAATATTGAGAAACATTTGTACCCAAGCAGTGTAATCTGTACACAGAAATGTTTTTGAGATAATCAGCGGATAGCTAGGACGAAATCACCCAGTAAATTGAAATGCTAAAAAACTACCATTTCCGCCTTACTAAAACTTGAATGTTGAGCAAAGTGGATTAGGCAACCAATCCGGAAAACAGACCAATCAAAAGTTAATTTGTGCTAATTCCGACGTCGATAGACAGACAGGCAACCTATTAGTTAAGAACGACCTTCAAGCGTGTATTTTCTATCTTCACTTATTGACCTTGTGATTATCCCGCCCACGCTTGAAAGGCTTTGTGCATCTGTATTTCTTGCGATATGTTTTATGGGGATACTTCTTTTCCTACAAGTCCCAATGTATTTTCTCACTGATTGACCAGGTCGAGAATTAAATAGGAAGTTTTAGAAGGTTAGTGGCTGACAGTCAATATCCCTGCATCTTAAGCTGCTGTAGTAGTTTAGAGCGTTCCTCGACAAATTATTGATAAAAAATAAAAAGAGAACCGTGGTATCTTTATTCCCTTTTTTTCTGTCTGCTTATTCTTACGTAGTGCTACAGTTAGCTACTGACCACTCGACGAAGTCAACCACAGCCTTCGTTATATTAAAGTGAAACTAAATATAAGGAGAATTGTTAAGTGCCTAAACTATTTATTGTTTGTGGTTTGAAACACTAAGATGGACGAGTAAGTGAGACAACTATCCTACAACACAAAGTACTGTAAAAATATCCAGTTAGCATGCATTAAGTGATTACAGTATATAAATACAGTTGGTTATTTAAAATTTAAAAATCAATCAATAAATATTTACTTCTTGTTTCACTGGCACTCCGACTTCACCAAGTAGACGTGTACGTATCAATCGTCGTCTGCGGAACATATGATAAAGTTTTTCAGATGCAACATAACCACCAGTTGACGCTTCAACAGTGTACTCAAAACCATCTTCATCACATGGACGATTATAGTCAATTCGCCAATCATCACCCCATGTCCAACCATTTGGTAAGCTTACCGTACGTGGTTCACCTTTCGGTTCACCTTGTGCATCTGTATATGCTGGATCAGCAACCTTCCATGGACTTGTCGGTGTACGAAATTCATTATAGAATAATTCTTCAACAAAACTTGTCTTTCCTGCATCCTGAAAAGATAATTTTAAAGGGAAATAAAGAAGTAGTTTTATTTAAAGTGACGATCATAACCAAAGGTATTACTACTGAACAACTTGAGTAGTCAGAAAACCACTCACTCTCGAACCAGCCAGATCAGATCAGGGTGACATTAGCACCTGATGATCGTTTCGTCTGTTTGGGACCTAGCTTATCAGCGGTGTAACCGGATAAATTCAGCTCATAGAGCAGTATTAGTTCACACCACCTGAATCTGGCCACCTTACTTGTGTAGATCAAATTGCAGATGATTTACAAATTGCACGGCGCACGTTGACATTTCTCACAGCTGTGTGGTTTTTCAACTCTGGTGGTGTCAACAAGGTTAGCGTTGGAAACTATTCAGCCTAGATCACAAGTTGTGTGTGCTTGTGATTTAGTGACCTGAGCATTTTCAATTCATTCATTACACATACCTAAAATTTTTCGATTCTTAAAAGTCGAGTGTAATTAAAAATATTCCTTTAGTACTTGGTCAGTCAGTAAGTTGGTATCTTATCTTACATAGTGGAAACAGTTGAATCGTCCAATAAAATGAATAAAATAGGAACACTTGGAAGTCAAGTGAATTCTAGCATAGGCTGAAAAAATAATGAAAAAGTCTACTGAAAAAAATCTTTGTAGATTGAACTATGCTTCTGTCTGTATGCTTGAAAAATATAGAGGCCTGAGGTGTTGGGTCTATAGAAAGAATCTTTTTGTAATAACCAGATTATGCAAAATGACGTTTGATTCTTTAGTGTAAGTTTCTGTATAAACTCACTGCTGAATATGGTATACCTGAATGATTTTGTGCCCACGTCGTCTCAATAAGTTGAATTCTCAACGCAACCCTATTACCCGCCCACTCAATCCCATTCGAAGGACATTCTCTTCTGATTTGTTTGTGTCATACATATATCTGTATCTCACTTTTTCGCACATTTGACCTTTATTCTGATTGGCTGTCGTTATCTTTCTCTGATTGGTTTTGTGTATGAAGTTGTCATTTGTCTAGCCTACTCATATGCAGAGTGGCCAACCGTAGGTTGTTTAACTGAATCTTATTCGTTTCCCCTGTAATTAAGTCAGGGATTTTTCCCTACAGAATCACCACAATTGCAGGTGCTAATCATTATGATTCCTCTTCTGAAGGTAGTGGTTGTCACAGACTGAAATCAACTGCAGAATCATTGGACACTTATTTCGTGTTAGTATGGAAACCATCAGCAGTACGGACTCATGACCTCTTCAGGGATCGGACTTAGGATCTTCAGGTCTCAAATTGCATCATTAGTATCCAGCCTATAATCTTTATTGACACTACTGCTTAGATAATAAACCTTAAAACATTGTTCTGGACCTTTGGGGTTGACACGTTACTTTGGTTATGGTCTAGTAATCGGCACTTTGCATTTAACTTTCATCTCAAGCGACAGATTGTAAGACCTTTGATATGATTGTTGGTAAGAAGAGACCCAGAGGAGAAGATGCCATGGAACTTGGATAGTTTTATTCTGATGAGTCATTTCTCATGTGGTGAAGAGTATCTACTACTACTCGTGTCCATTTTCATAAGCTTTCCTGCTAATCGTAATCCGTCGTTTTGTTGTTTATTATTCATAAATAACAGACATTCAGTTATAAGATTTGATATGTAATTTCTATAGCAGCGATGGATAGTGGCTAGCAGTGGAATCTAGGACGCGCTTCAACCTGTTTAAGACTCTTTCGCCAGATGTACTTGCCTCCCTATGAACAATTTTGTGCGCGCTTAGCTCAAACCCAGGATTTATCGCTTCAACCGCCATAGCGTTTTCCATTAGGCCACTGTGTCACAAAAGCCACTCTTTGTTTGATGAGTATGGTGGTTATGTCATTGCTTTCAGTTTCTTAACTCTAATCCGACCGGATTGTCGACCCTATTGGGCTCCTGCGTGGATACTTCGATATCACCTGTTGAGTATGCGCACTATTACTGAGAGTTTTATTTTTGTCATTCATCTACCCGAATCCGTGCTTTGTAAAGTATCAAGGATATTAGATATAGTCAGATGAGAGATGGCTAAGTGAGTGTTTCATCAGTATGGAAATAGTGTTGAATATAGAGTATATCCATAATAGAGATGTATGTGAAATGCATATCACCTGACAAGGGAAAAATTACTCACCTTCATGGTATCAGTCAGTCTGTACGACATAAATAGTATGGACAAGTATACTGAGCTGCAGTTTGTTCTGTCCTGTTATGCAGCTGTGAGACATAGCCGTTGTAAGTAGAAAATATAAGGTGGTATAGGTCTTAACCACAAGTGTCTTCGAAGCACTACTGGAGTTTGGTGATTCACCCTGTGTTGAGGTCAGGGGAAGAGTACTAGGCAAGATTGGCGAGTCAGTTGATGAGGATGTGAACTTTAGTCAACTGAGGTGGCTTGGACATGTACTGCGCATAACGAGTCACCGCCTACCCCGACCTGGCATACTAGGCGAAGTTAGATTAGATCGGAAGAGAGTTCAGCGTGGCCAAATCACGACCTAGCACAAGTCAATGAAGGTGCTGACTACTGGTCTGGGTTGTGTGCGGGAGATGTAGACTACCTGGCCGGAGTCTTCAAAACGAAAGGAATCAGTGATTGAAGACCCTTGGTGACATGGCTGAAAATAAGTTACAGTGTCTCAGATGTATTCACACGTTAACACCTTCTGAAGCCTGAATGTTAACACCAAGTTTTATCTTCAAACTGTTTATTCTGTCACATAACTTTGTCTACATTAGTACTACTATTTTTATATCCACCTGTTCCTTGTGAACTACTGTGAAGTGTGGCAACTCGAACCAATGCACCTGTGTGTGAGGTTCTACGTTGATTATCTCAGTCAGTCAGTCAGTCAGTTCGTCATAAGTAGTCTTACTACAGAATATTGAGTGATTAGAAAATGTTCATTACATCCACGAATTTATTCAACTGGTTTTGTCATTTGATTCCAAGCCCACCACTAGTGTGACCCCATCAATCAACAAACAGGCTAAGTCAACATACAGTTTGGTAATACTTTGTAACTGTTCAGGGCTCTGTACCTCAAATGAGAATACACCAAGATGAAAGATAGGGAAAGAAAGAAAAATGCGATCAAAAGTGGTAGAAATTTGTTTAAATGGATCAAATATAAATCAGACAATACAGGAATTCAGCATGACGATGCAGGTGAAGATGATGTCTAAATACATCTGTAACATGAGGTAAAATATATCAAAGCTGCATATATACATACAATCATAATTTATCGTTTCCAAAATCTTGGTGGTTTTATCAGTCTGTATCTGCTGGTTTCCTCAGTCTATATGCTAGATTTCCAAGTGGTATTCATCATGGGTTGACCTTAATTGGAGTACCATTGAAAGCCTAAGAGAACTGCATAATTTTTTCATCCTACTCTGGAACTCCTCAGCAGTGGTGGTTGTCAACCTCAGGGGAGATACATCTCAGGATCTATAGCTCTCGCAGTGAGCACGTTGATCATTCAACCACTGGGTCAGAATCCAGCGGTTCACATTATCCTACTGCTATCGATCGTCGATACGCCGGTACCCTGGGAGAGTTTTTGCCCTGCACTCTACTTGGTTGACCCAACAAGTCACATCTTCTTATTAGAACTTCAGCGAATCCATTTCAAAGTGTGGGCTTAAATCCTGACAGGGTTGTGAGTACCACTGCTGAAGGGTTTCATAATTCGTCGAAATAGCTACCCAATGCTTCCAGGCTTTCAGTGGTTCTCCAACAGATGTCACTTCGTAATGAATGCTGTTTTGAACTCAGTCACTCCTCACAAACCTCCAAAATGAAGTATGTACGTTGATTAGTCACTGAGAGGAACCAATTTCATGCTCTCTAGTCTTGAGTACTGACCAAGTTCTATCTCACCTTTTGTGGTGCATTTTGGTAGGTGTTATTAAGTTAGAGTTACTCTCCAGTGACTAATCAGTGTATGTAATCTAGTGCTACACTAGGGTGGTCGTGACTGGAATACTCAGTGGTAATGTCACTGAATGCAATAATTGGTTTGAATATCAGATGGCGTATCAGTTCCCTCAAGTTTGAAGAGATGCCTATCTGAAGGTTCACAGTGTCATCAACCAACCTGCCTGTCTTATTTAACATCCTCTCTGCTGACTTCAACACTTTGCACAAGGTGATTCCACCAAACTCCAGTAGTGCTTCGAAGACACTTGTGGTTAAGACCTATAACCACCTTATATTTTCTACTTACAACGGCTATGTCTCACAGCTGCATAACAGGACAGAACAAAATGCAGCTCAGTATACTCTTCCTTTGGTAGATAGTCGGATATTTTGGTACCGTCAGAGATGGCTCAAGTTAACGAATGCCAAACAGTCCTCCTTTATCCTAGCTGAGATGTCGTCAGCAACCAGCCTGTTTCGGCTGATACAACTCCCCAAATAAGTGAAGCGGCTGACGCATTCCACCGCTTATTCCCCTAAATCTCTACTGTGAGTACTTGCAGCAGACCAGTCCAGGGAAATCCTCTTCCATTTAATAGGTGTGGAAAGCATACCGAACATACTCGGACTTCTGCTTAATGCATTCACATGATGCTTGCTACATTTTCTCAGCGTTTCACTTAGAAAGACACTATCGTCTGCATACTCCAAATCAACCGTATATCCTCGAGGGTGCAGATCAATTCCTGTCAATTTGGACGTAATTAAGATTACGTCCACTAGTATGTCTTTAACAAAGTTAAACAGGAATATTGACAGTGAGCAACCCTAATGAACACCACTAGTTGTCGTCAGTTCTGATGACAACTCTGCATAAACCCTGAAATGATTGAGTCAGTTTAAGTACAGAGCATTGATAAGCTTTATTTGCTTGCTTGGTACTCCTTTCACTGTCAAAAACTACCACAACATCTCATGGTCAACAGACTCGAATGTCGTCTTCAGGTCAAGAAATGTGGCAAGTGTTGACCGTTGGCCTATGTGCATGCTTGTGTATGAGTTGCTGTTGGAGGGTGAAAATCTGATCGGTCCACCCTGTTTCAGGTCTAAAATCTGCCTGGTTAAGCAATGTCAGATCTCATGGAAGGTCATTGTCAGTCACATGAGAAAGCAAAAACGCATTACTATACACTGGTGTTCAAAATAGAAAAGGGGGGAGGAAATCATATTTTTACATAAACTTTCTAAGAGTATACGTGACAACTCAAAGTTAAAAATGATAACTCGTATAAAAATAACTCACCTTCTTAAATAATAATGAAAGTTCTGGACTAACATACCAATCGCCTACCCATTGCCAACCATTTGGCAATTGTATTGATTCTTTTGTCAATTCAATACGGCCGGTATTATCTGACCATGGTGGACGAGTTAATGGAGGTCTTTTAGTTACCCAACTGCCAACAATTGACGCTTGATTTTCATACTATATGTAGATAGATGCGTGAACAAGAGAAATAAGTAAGTAAAACAAATAATATGAGAATTTAGAACAACTAGTCCCTTTTATGAATTTGGATACCATCGTAATTAGAAGACGAAGATTATCTGAACAGTATATGATGTATTTGCGCTATACATTTCGAAACAATCTGATTACACATTTACTTGTTGAGAGATTATATATGAAAACTGAACCGTTGCTAGCTAATATTTACATGTTATTTTATTGATGGCTTGACTGGTGATCTCCTCAATAAAGTTACTCTCTATAAGAGATATGTTGATAACATAATTGTAATATGTGAAAAGCATGAAGATGCAATATACTTATTAGAAAAACTTGACACCATACAAAACAATATACACCTAACATGTGACGAACAGAAAAGATAACCATCTGCCGTTCTTGGATATACTCCTAAGTCGTAGGAATGATGGTTCAATAAAGCGGTCAATTTACAAGAAATCCACTTGGATAGGTCACTACTTAAGTTTCATAGCTTCTGTCCAACCCAATACGAGCGATACTTGGTAACCCGACTATTTAAAAGGATCCAGTGTATTTGTATAGAAGATTCAATGGATGATGATATCAAAATACTAACTGAAACATTAGTGGAAAATGGATATCCATTGAAATTCATAAACCATTGCAGAAATCAACCAGCGTTGAAACCTAGTCTGTACTTTGTTCCGAAGAAATGCGTTGACATCACATTACCATACAGAGGAGAATCTAATACTATAACACTAAAACGAAGTTTAAGGTCTGCCATTAGCAAAACATACTATGCAGTTAAGCTTATTGTAGTTTAGAAGACCAAAAATCTATTGCAACGTAGACCTCAAAGCTGTATAAACGATTATGTCACATCGCACTACGTTTATAAATTTACACACACATAGGGAGGAATTAACGAAATATACACTTGAGGTTAGGGGACCATGTACTGAAATGGCTACGAAAGCAGATGGATTCATGAACATCGATAAGCGCAGGTGGCAGACAACCATCATCCGCATCCATGTCAAAACATATCACTGATAAAGGTCAGAGGATTGATATTAAAACACCCTATAAAATTTCGTACAGAAACTATCAGAGGCTTATGCTTAGGTTTGGTGAAGCGTTAGCCATAAAAAGTTTTTCCTTATACCAAGCCTACTATGGTAGTGTCCACTAGGCCCACTGGGACACGAGAATCTAGTGGATAACGTCTTGGCGTTTGAAGCAATGGTTTTTGGGTTCGAACCCCAGTGGGAACAACATAAGGTACATGCAACTGTTAAATCCCAAACAATAGGAAATGGGCGTCCTGGATTCCACTGCGAGTCTCCAAAATGAATAAAGCATCATGGATATCCGGCAGAGTATAGAGGGATTTGAATAGTATCCCACCTGTCAACAGGAGTCGAGCAATTCGACCCTACATAGCGGCGAGAAGTTCAAAAGTATCAAACAACAGCTTTTCTTGATGTTCTTCCGTGAAGTCGAACAGATGGGTAGATAAAGAAGTTGTTTAGGAAAAGTATGTGGACGGGACACCACACACTTTCTTAACTTTGTTCATTAAAGTATCTTTTGAAGTATAATGAAAGTTTTTAAAGGGCACCAAAGAACAGGTTTATGTCTTCTTGAGATCTTTATTATTGATGATCTTCTTAGTGTTAAGAATGGACTGTCTTCATAAACTGAAACGTTTATAAGGGAAGTCATCGCTCGTTGTCGTGTAGACAACATTCCACTAACTTTGAAGCTGCTGAAAATCAGTCTATATAAATTCTTTGGTTACTAAAGTATTTTTTTTCACTTTTCTAAGGATTGCTTTGTAAATTACTCATTGAGCGACGTTTGTATATAATTTACGTTATCATTATGAGGCCTAATCACTTACTTCTGCCTTATCTTATACTCAAAGTAGATGAACTTTAGAAGTAAATGCAGTCACCGACTGTGTACAGTTTCGTGTACGGATAATGATACCATATAGCTGCTTAAACCTAGATTGGGTGCATCGGATACAAGTCAACTGCATAAACCAATAAACCACAACTCAATAGCTTCAGTAAACTGTTTCTAGACTGCTACCTACCATGATATTTTTTGGAGTCGTGAAGTAACTAGACATGGCTACTTATCTTTCCAGTGGTCTTCAGTTCCCTAAAACTTAGATAAGTCTTAGCTCACTTAAAATAAGAATTACCACTGAGTGCTTCAATACTAGAAGTAAAACGTGACTGGATACTTAGAATCTAAAAAATGATTTCGAAAGGAGTGAGAAATTTCAGGAAAAGCTGAAGAAGCCTAGACCAGACTTTAGTGTGAAACGTTGGAACTTCTTATTTCATATACGCTGAGATTTGTTCAAATATAACTTATATTAAATGTCAATTTTTCATTCGGCGCCCAATATTTGTGAAATTATCTGGTTAAATGAACTACTGTCTGACGAAAACCAGAATTTTGTGATATAAGTTCTTTGAATTGTGTTAGGCTCAATGAGAATCACCATTTAAAGTTATTTATATCTTAGGTGGAATCCAATTCTGCTTCAAAATTTAATCAATTCCACCTAATGGCTGTAATGATCTCATTGGAGGGTTTATTCGCCTATTGGAACGGTCGAAATCAGATAACCAATCAGAAACGAAGTTCTTCTTGGTAGACAAGTAATTAATCCAATCACATAGCAGTTAGTGTCTTTAGATGACCTTGGTGAAGCATAGAAACTTACGGTTATTAAGTGCTGGATTATTTGATACACTCCATTTCCTATATACGTATCAGTCAGTTCTTTCGACCGCCTAGGGTGGAACTAATAAGTGGTAACAATAGTAAGTGCGCAAACCTGAATGGTTGACTAGCATATGCAAAACATTTAGATTTGTAAAGATCATAAATACCACAACTATTCAGTAGTACGCTTCAATTTTTTATAACCTACCGTTTCTGCAACAACTTGAAGTTTCGCCTCAGTATGTGATTCCGTCCATGCTGAACGATCCTTCTCTAATCCGAACCATACAACAATACGTAATTGAGCTGGAATTTTCCATTCAGGCTTAGCTTCATCTTTAAGCAAGGTGGGTTTCTGAAAAATAAAAAATGAAAACACAATTATATTGCATACATCACTTTGGAAGGCGAGGTAATGCGTTGATTCACCTAATTTCAGTATTCAAAGTGCTTAGGAGATACCCGATCATCAGAAGAGAGGAAATTTTATTTCTGTCACTGTGTTGTCCCCTTAAACATATTATCAACCAGCCAAATTGAATTCTGTACACAGAGTTCTGTTAGAAAGTCATTATGAGACATTTATAGGACAAATCACCTTGGAAGATTTATTCATCCAATTTATTGGCGTATTCAAACTATTGTCCACATTTGATAACGATAAATTCTTAGGAAGTGGCTTAAATGAAAATTAACATTTTAAGTCACCAGCTGGTAAGGTAGAAGTTTTGGATTTCAATTTTCAATTCATGCCACTATGTGGTCAGGAAAAACCTGATTCGTCAGCTTTATCCAACGGTTGACCAATCAGAATAAGTTATTTGGTTTTCATGAAAACAGCATGTATAGATGATGCATTTTTGTCGAATAAGTGTCTTCCTTACAGTCACACACTAGTCTTTGTAGTCCGATTTTTAATGGCTCAGTGAAGTACTAAGTTCTGATGCAGGAGAGTTACTATTTGTAGCCAGTTAAAGTGTCTCACAGAGTTCACATATTATTCAATCGATCACTTCGCAAATAAAAACGAATTGAAGGGGAGACAAAACTAATTCCATAACCATATACACTTTTATGGACCAAGCTATTGGCCTCACTCATTGCATGGAAGCTAACGACAATAAATAACCGATAAATTAGGCTTGAAATCACTAACAATAATTTTAGGAAGTGTACTAAGACTACATCAATATAGATTCAAGTGATGCTTGCATGTTGTTTCTCTATACTAAGGTAAAAATCAAACTAGTATTTGTTAGTTTATCAGCTTATAGTTATAGTTTGTCAGAATTCAGAGGGACTGGTCTGTAGTAAAGTAGAGGGCATGTTACTTGTTCCTGTGTCTTGGTTGAAACTTGTCTTAAGGATTAAATGAGCGAAAAACTACCAGTAGCAGAATAGTGTATCATGTTAACTGTTAGTTGGTAGTAGACAATCGGCAGGAAGTCCTTCTTCAGTTAGGTTTCGTCCTTGTTGGCACTCGTCAGAAGGGCGTATCTGCAACCTCGGTGAGACTGATGGCTCCTCTACTATCCGAACCTGGGTCAAGCAGTGTTATAGCCAGAGACGTTATCACTGAGCTATCCTCTTCATCATCGACCTCCTGTAGGACTGGATTAGATACAATGATTGGTCACTGGAGAGTAATCAGTTTCATATTGTCTGATGTTAAGAGTTGACCATCAAGGCAGGAAGCTCAGCGTCACGATGACCTTTGATGGATACTAGTTGGTTGGAGGCAATTGGCAAACAGCCCTGCTGGACCTAGGTTTGGTGCTTGTTGGCATTCGCCAAGAAGACGTATCTGCAACGTTGAAGGAACTGACATCCCTTCTGAGATTCGATAGAATTCCGTCAGCACCCAGGCTGAGACAACATGAAACTGGTTGCTCTTCAGTGATAAGTTAATCTTAAATGTAGCCTTCACGGTCATTAGATAATCTGTTGATATAAAGGCAATAGACGCTGATTTGTAGTGTCAACAAGGAGAAAGACTTCTGGAATGTAAACATAGTTTAGATGGTAGAAATCAATGAGCATGGTTGAGAGGCCGTGCATCTCATCATTGGACACTATACAGGAGGTCAAAGATACAGGATAGGAGGTGAATGAATGAATGAATATGGTGTGCTTTCTCTTAAAAGTAGTTGAGTGAAGGTTTTATCACATAACAAATGTGAATATGTATGACATCAGATATGATAAGATGGAGACCAGTGGGGCAAAAATGGTATAACACTACTAAAAAATGGTTTTAATAAAATACCATTATCAAACTGGAGATACTGGCAATATCATGGCATCAGCCTAAGAGCTCATATGCCAATTCGGTCCAATCAACAACGGAGACTTACAGGCTATTTCATCAAAACTATGCTCACTGCATGAAGAGTGGCTATTGTAACTCAGTGACTTAGTAGATAACATTCTAGCACTTAAAGTAATTGGTCCCAGGTTCCAGTTTCACTGGAAACAATATCCCACTCACTGGGAGGCAGATACATCCAGCTGAGGAGTCCTAAGTAAGACGAAGCGCGCATCTTAAAATCCATTGCTAGTCACTGTTCATCATCATTAATTCAGGCTAGATTTAAGGTTATCATTGGGACCACAATAACTGTTTGTGCATACATCATTCTAGTTTCAGATTATGAATCCACGGGGCCTTTAGGATAAAAAGTAGGTGTGTGTGCACGTTTCGATAAGTTTGATTTGATCTTGTAAATAATGTCAAATGATGATTTGGAGGTCGAACGGTTGCAGTCAACTACATGTTGGAGGATTGATGAATCTATGCATCTACGTTCCCAACCATACTGGAAGGTGTTCTCGAAAGTAATGGAGAGTGTTTCCCAATGAACGTTTTATATACCTAGCCCAATAAAAGCAGGTGAACATATAGATACACATTGAACTGAACAAATAAAATAACGCCTTCTTAGCACTAAGATGGATCATGTGACAGCTGGAATAGGTTCCTCATATTCATTCACTTATTCACCCCTTGTTATGCCTCTATGACCTACATTCGTCTATATTTTGATGATTGATATGATGATTCCGGATATATTATCCCCATTCACATTAATGTACTTCAAATTCCACTTATTTTAAACACGAAACATACATACATACATACATACATACATACATACATACATACATACATACATACATACATACATACATACATACATACATACATACATACATACATACATACATGCACACATACATACATACATACATACAGATAAAAATTCATTATTGTCTACCTCAATTTATGTGTCAATTGGAATTGTTGTCATGAGCAAATTACCACTGAACCCTCTGGGATGGGATCCATTGGTCTATATTTTTTTATTTCTTTAATTTAGCAATATTCCGTGACCTTCATCAAATGGTGTCGTTGAGTAACTGTCCTCATGTTCGACTTTAACGGCCCCACTGGTCGCAACTTCGCATTGGATCTTCGAGAATCTCCTCACCAATGAATACCCACGTGGAGTTAATCTAATGCTCATCGGTGACAGCTTTGACGGGTGATTCCTGAAGTTCCAATGAGAAGTCGTGACTGATTGGGTTGACCAAGTTGAATATGAAGACAGTTACCCAATGACGGCATTGGTTGGAGGTCGCGATATATCTTGGATTGATAGAGATAGGAAAATGTGAGCCACTCGATTCCGAACCAGCAGCTAAGCACTAACGTGCTAACCTCAAAGTCTTGAGTTCGATCCTGGGTAGTGTTGTGGGTGCACACTGTTGAGGAGTCCATCACTAGGGTGAAACAACTAGCTGTCAGTACTTTCAGGTTTTCAGTGATTCTGTAAATGACCTTTAATCCGTGACGAATAATAACTTGAAGTCAATAAATCTTCACAAACCTCCAAAGTGAATTATTTGAAAGTACTGGAGTACTCGTTTGTAGCTGTAGGTGAAACCATTAAACTAAGGTTAGAGAGAGAATATTTCCTATTTTGACAATGTTATAGTCTGTAATGAAATTATACAAAGAATTTATCTGGTTAGTATCAGTCATACAGTGAATACCATGTCATAGTGATACTCGGTACTTACCTGTTAGGTGGTTCGAGTATGCCTTCAGATAACTCACTGTATTACTGATGTATAAAGACTGTGGCGTTTTATTTGGTCAAAAAGTGTTCGTAATGGTATGCATAAATCTCCATTCAATTGAGGTCATTAATGAACATAAAATATTAAAGGGATACCAGTCAATCAAAAGACACCATTATGCTGTTTCAAGATGACAGTGTGTACCATAAGATTGCTAAGTTTTATATAAAAATCATTCAATCCCTGAGGCCTTTTACAACCAGTCGTTTCGCTTCAAAGTTTCAAGAAAAAGCATATGAACAGATGTGTTAATATCAGATTGGTTGAAGAGGCAAAGATTAGTAGCATACACTATTCTAGAAAGGCCTAGAAATAGTCAAAGCCATTATGAATACATATAAACCGGTGTATTGTGCATATATATTATAACTCTGCAATATGCTTTCTATTGTCTTACCTATCAAGGAACTGAAGGTTATTGTTTAAAAGTCACTCACTCACTCTACTCGCTAACAGTCAGTCAGTCAGTCACAAAGATAGAAAAGTCTTTCGTTCAGCTAAGGAAATAAGTCCTTAAATTTTACAAACAACGTTAACTACTACTTACTTTTAAATTGATTGTTTGAGGTGTACCACATCGCATGCCTCGATAATCAAGATTGGAATGATAGAGTACCTCATGTGCTGGCATTCTATGATAGGCAGTTCGTTTACCTCCGCATAACATCCATATTATAATATCTGGTATACTCATTTGAGGCTAGAGGCGAAGAAAGAAAGATAACAGAAAACAGGTATACAAGATACTGAATGAGTTATAGGGAAGTTGATACTTGTGAAGATAACCAGAACAGTGACCAACCCAGTCTCCACATGTTATCCCATGTACATGTATTTTATACAAGGAACAGGCTTTCAAGTAGTGGAATATTTACAAATCTACCCAGTTAAAGGGTTCGATGTCTACCTGGGTCATAGGTATGCACTACTGATGACGCCCATACTAGGACGAAACAGTTGTCCAGTTGTCTCAGGCTTTCACTAGTTCTCCAGCTAATATCAGAGTCTATGATAAATACTATACTGCAATGAATCAACTTCTAACCAGATTTAAACCTCGAAAACCAAATGATTACTTTAGGAGGAATAAGAATGACTCACTTCAACAGCTAGATTAAGAATAGTTTCTCGATATGATTTTAATTCTTTCAATGCATCTTCAATTTCAGAAACAGTTTCTCGTGTATTTATCGCTTGCTCACGTAATGTATTCAATTGATCTTCACGTAATTTACGTAAATGTATATCCATGTCATTCTGTGGGATATTCTCTGGTTCCCATTGAGGTAGAACATGACTAAAAATGATATAACAAGAAATGAAAGTAATGAACATCAATTAGACACTGCAGGACTATTATTCGCTCATAATAGTGGCTGTTAGCTAAGTGATAGATATATCTGTATCCATAAGTATAGTAAGAATGTTATATGTAAACTTGATCCCTGTTTTGTCCTTAGCTGAACTCATCATAGGATTACGCTTGAATCATTAGGTTACGAACTGATGACTTTCATTCCCATTAGGAGACTGGCCATCATGATGCCCCCTTCAACAGCATCGAAGACTCTCTCTCATGCAGTGGGAAATTATCTTCTACAAGATCAGGATCATAACAGCAAGGTTCAACTCAAAACGAAGGAAAGTCACAGACATACAATACTACACTACGCTACGCACCTACAAATAATGCAGATCAAGAGAAGAAGGAGGAATTCTACAAATAACTCCAATCAGTACTGAACAAGACCCCACCCCAGATGGCGATAACAAAATTCTAATGGGTGGGATGACATGAATGCCGATCTGGGAGCGGACAACACAGTGAGAGAACTGATCATGGGTCGAGATGCACTCGGTGAAGTGATGAGTGAGAATGGAGAACTGTTTGCAGACTTCTGCACATTCAACGATTTAATGATTGGAGGTGAGGCAGTGTGTACAAACACAAGGATATTCACAAGGCCATGACATGGATTTGATTTCACCACATACCAGGACACACTACACTGAAAATCAGATCGACTTCATCTGAATGTGAAGAAGGTGGAGACACAGCCAGCCTAGTGGACACAAGGTCAGATCAAGAAAGGGAGCAGATGTACGTGGTTCACACTACTTACTCAGTATCTAGTGCAAGGAACCTACATTCAAAATCAAGTTGAAAGCCTTGAAAGAAGTTGGAGACCGACCACAGTTCAGTTTCAACACCCAGAACAGAAACTGAACTGAAGGATGAGACCACAAAGGAAATCTTCACTTTGTCAGCCATCAGGACAAAATGGGAGATATCGAACAATATCCCTGAAGGATCGGGCTAGGAAGAACACTGGAACTCTTTGAAAGCTATGTGGAAGGAAACCTGCATAACCGTATTAGGAAGGAAGAAGAAGTGGCAAGATATGGATTGGATCTCGGTGGACACATTTAAGCTGATAGAGCAGGGAGAGGGGGATGGTGAAACAGAAGATGAACCAGTGCAGTGCAGTGCAGGCAGTGCAGTGCAGTGAAAGGATGAACAAAGAAAAGAGGAACTGAACTCTACACTGGATAAAGAAGTGGAGAAGAGTGCTCACAAAGACAAAAGACACTTCTACGACACAATTGCAAGTGAAGCAGAACAGGCTGCAGGTAGGAGAGACAGAGACCTGACAGCACTATATCAAATGCCCAGATTACTATCTGGGAAGAGATCAATGCAGATGAGATCAATGAAAGATGGTGAATGAAAGCTAATTACCGTCAAAGAGAAGAAGCAAAGGAAAAGATGGGCTGACCACTTCAAAATACTCTTGAATCGACCACCACCACCACCACCACCACCAACACCAAACACCAACACCAGCAGCATCACCATCACCACTACCACCACCACCAAAAGCGTGAACAAGATTCGGATTTTCAACACATATGTCAGTCAAGTAAGGCAGTGTTTCTATGTGATGGTTGAGAGACTTGGTAGGTCACGAAAAACATTTCCAACAAACTACAGAAATACGTGACATCCACAGCTGCCACCTACGCTCACTCGATACTGACACTGAAGATCATATGTCCAGAATAATAAGAATAAACAAGAAGGAAGTGACTGGTTGGCAACGAGCCAACCAAGAAGCCCAACAAAAATGTAGAAGAAAGTAGAGATGGATTGGACATACATTGAGAAGAGTATTTGGGGACACCCTCGAGGCCCTCTAGTCGGATCCGAGTGGTAAACGACGAGTTGGGCGTCTGAGCTGAGTGTGACATGGAGGAGATAGTGTGGGGAAGAAATGAAAGCTTGTGAGCAGTGGTGGAGTCAGGTTGAAAAGACTTCCGAGAAGAGAGTGAAGCCCTATGTTCTACTAGGAACCCAAGGGACAAATAATTGATAATAACTGTCAACCAGAATCCAGTAGAGTACTGTACTTTCTACCTATGAAGTTGGTTATATATCTACACTTGTAAATCCACGAGAATCAGTCAATGAATCTTCTGGAACTCGAAGACTGAAATTCATCGATTCACCACACTTTTTGGGTGAAATTGAGTGAATAATTATACTTGAAACACAAGCACAAAATATATCCATGGCCAACTATTCAACAGTTTTATCTAGCAAAGTGTGGATAGATAGCTCTCATATGCAATTCAGATCACTATCTCATGGAATCAAGAATGATATTCTGTGAAATCGATTTATTCTTGATAACTACAGAGCTGAAAAAGTTAACAGTGATGTAATAAATTTCGATTGGTAGACATGAATAAAGATAAGAAGGTAAAGCTGCTGAAGTTTGATAATGATATAAGAGAACTTAAACATTGGCAGAGTTGTGATGGGAGTTGATACTTTCATGCTGCCTACATCACGGATGGAATGAAAAAGAAAATAGATTTTTGAGGTTGATTTTAACGATCTGGTTGCATGGTTGTAGAACTCAAGGGACATTTTATTAGAGACCAACCAACCAGGGATTGATTTTGTCACGTTCTATATTGAAAGATCACAGAATGGAGAATATTTTTCAATCTTTTTGGCTAACATTCTTTAATCCCTGCTTACAAATTATTTTATTATATTATTATTTGTCCCTTGGGTTCGTAATGGAACATAGGGCTTCAGTAGCACGTCTCCAATGGGCTCTGTTCTCTGAAATCTTTTGAACCTGGTTCCACGACAGCCCACAAGCTCTCATTTCTTCCTCTCACGATCTCCTCCATGTCACCCTCAGCTGAGACTCCCAACTCGTCGCTTCCCATCGGGGCTCCACTCGAGCAACTGGCCTGATGCGTGATGTCCCCAGTCGGCCTTCTCAGTGTATGCCCAATCCATCCCTACTTCCTTCTACTGCATATTTGTTGAGCAATAGGTTCTTGGTTGGTTCGTTGACAGCCAGCCATAGTTCCTTGTTGCTTATTCTTATTATTCTGGCCATCTGATCTTCAGTAGCAAGCCAGCATAGGCAGTTGTTGATGAGTGTCTGTAGTTTATTGGAAATCCCTTTCGTAACGCGCCAAGTCTCTGAGCCATACAGAAGCACCGACTTGACATTAGTGTTGAAAATCCGGATGTTGTTCCACATGCTGAGTGCAGAAGATCTCCACACTGGTTTCAGGTTGATGAACGCCTGTCTTTCTTTTCCGACCCTGACTTTGACATCCTCGTCTGTGCCTGTGCCTCCTGTAGTTGAAACAGTGCTTCCTAGATAGGTGAAGGAGGCTACTTCCTTTAAGTTTCTCCCGTTGATGGTGATTGGAGTTTATTGGTGTTGTTGGTGGTGCGGTATCTTCATCACCTCTGTCTTCTCTATATTCACTTGAAGTCCCGTCTTCCCCCGCTGCCTCTTCTGCCAACTTGTTAGTTTTCGCCTGCAGATCTTCAATTGTGTGTGACATCAGACACAAGTCATCGGCGAAATCCAGATCTTCTAGGTTCTTTTCCGCGGTCCAGCGTATCCCCCTGTTCTCGCTTCCCACTGTTTGCTGCATGATCCAGTCGAGTCGACCACAATCAGGAATATCATGGAGGATAGTAGGCAACCTTGTTTCACTCCTGTCTTCACTTCAAAAGCATCACTGAGCTTCCCGTTGTGAATTACTTGGCTGGCATGTGGCATCTTCATATAGTTGTTGGATGAGGCGGATAAAGGTTTGCGGTATTCAGTAGTATTGAAGCAGTTTCCAAATTACCTCTCGGTTGACGCTGTCAAAGGCCTTCTCAAAGTCGTAAAGTTGAGGTAGAGAGCTGATTGCCATTCTATACTCTGTTCTATGATGATGCGAAGCGTTGCAATTCGGTCCACACATGATTTGTACTTCCTGAAGCCTGCCTGTTCCGGTCGTAGTTTTGAGTCCAGTGCATCCTTAAGCCTCTCCAGGATGATGCGGCTTAACATTTTGCTTGCTTTGAGTGGACAGCAGAGTGATTCCGTGCCGGTTCTTGCAAACACTGGGGTCTCCCTTCTTCGGGAGTTTGACAAAGTAGCCCTTCTTCCAACCAGTTGGCAGGTTCCTTCCCTTCCTTCCACACCTTCTGCAATAGTGGTGTGAGCATGTCTGCTGTTGTCTCCGCGTCTGTTCTCAGTGCTTCTGTTAGGATTCCATTTGGTCCTGCTGCCTTCCCGCATTTCAGTAGCTTTATGGCGTTCAGGACTTCAACTTTTGTTGGAGGATTTATGTTCACTTGTAGTTCAGCGGCTGTAGGTGGTATTTCCGGACGAAGTGCAGGTGGTGGTCGGTTCAAGAGCTTCTTGAAGTGGTCGACCCATCGTTTCTTTTGTTCCTCTTCTTTCGTAACCATATTTCCTTCATCATCTTCTATTGGTTTCAGCTACGTTGATCTCTTCCCAGACAGTAACCTGGTTATTTGATACAATGTTGTCAGGTCTCTCCTACCGGCAGCCTGTTCTGCTTCACTTGCCAGTGTTTCGTAGAAGTGTCTTTTATCTTTCCGCGCACTCTTCTTCACTTCTTTGTCCAGTGTTTTATACATTGCGCTCAGTTCCTCTTGTCGTTGAGCATCCTTGCACTGGTTTATCTTCTGCTTCACCATCCTCCTCTCCTCTATCAGCTTCCAGGTATTCGTCGAGACCCATTCATTATCTTCTTTCTTCTTCCTTCCTAATACGGTTATCCAGGTTTCTTTCCACATCTCTTTCAAAGACTTCCAGTGCTCATCCACACATGTTTCTTCAGGAATGTTCCTCGATATCTCCCATTTTGTCTTGATGGCTGACGTGAAGATTTCCCTTGTAGTTTCGTCCTTCAGTTTCTGGGTGTTGTACCTGAACGTGTGGTCTATCACCAGCTTCCTTGAAGGCTTTTAACTTGATTTGGAAGTTTGGTTCCTTGCACTAGATAGTGGTGTGAACCTACATCTGCTCCTCTTCTTGACCTTGTGTCAAGTAGACTGCGTCTCCATTTTCTTGAGATTGAGATAAAGTCGATCTGATTTTTAGTGTGTCTTGTGTCTGGTGAAATCCATGTCGCTTTGTGGATATCCTTGTGCTTGAACACACTGACTCCAATCACCAAATCGTTGACTGCACAGAATTCCTCAAACGATTCTCCATTCTGGTTCTTTTCACCGAGCGCTTCTCGACCCAAGGAGCAATCATTTCATCTAGCTTAGCTCATTTTACTATTGGGATATGATAGTCAGACCACCTCATCAAGGCAGCAATCATCTGTTGGAAGCATTTTATGTTCGTCTGACTTAACTATAGACATAGTTATTTCAAGTGGTTTGGGCTATCAGACTATCACTGGAGGTTAAACTTTATAGTTTAGTTAAAAGAGAACTGAGGTGATAACTGACAAATCCCCGGTCATCAATCTGAAACGACACTATATTTCTTTTAAATCCCTTCATTATCCACACAAATTCGATAAAAATAAGAATCACGTTGTTAGCATAGGTGATTTTTTCTTAAAGACTGTAAAAAAAGTGAGCATAGGCCAAATGTTTTTTTCATGCTTTAGCACTCGTCAATGGTGAGCGCTTCATGTCCACCTAATCATAGAACCTTCAAACTTCTTTACCATCATACTGAAATTTAACTATATCCTGATGTAAATATTTCCCATCCTTATTCAGTTTCTCATACAAGGTTATCATATAGTTTTGTCGCTTGTTTCCCCAGCTGAAGGAGCTTATGAGTTCGAAAATTTCCGGCATGCATCCCGGGAAATCTATCATTGTGTAAATAATTTTGCCTAAAAAATCAGCAATTGTTTGCGTACTACTTAATTAATTGTCAGTAGTTACATTGGATGCTGAAAATAGTTCCGGTTAAGGGTCGTAGTCAAAACCCGTTGATACTAAATGAAAAATTATATGAAAACGGAAAATCTGCGACAGTTGGAGGTCATTTCGACTGTTTATGAATTTCTTAAGTCTGTTTATGTTTAGCACTTCTGAAAAAGGAAATAGCCTTCATGGTAGTTTACTTGGTTGTGTCTAGCAGAAGAATCCAGGATGCACCTCAGAGGCCTAGTGGATAACGCTTTGGCTTGTGAAACGACTGGTACGAGATTAGAGTTTCAGTGGAAACTAGATCACTCACTTGGGTGCAGGTACATCCAACTGGTGAGTTCTAAATAGGACGAAACACGTTTCCTGGATTCTTCTGCTAGCCGCAAACAAGTAAATTAACATTTAAAAAAATGGTTATTAGTTAACACGATGAGTGTTTTGTGTAAGTAACTTACTTGCAGTCCATAATAAATTCATCCAGTGAAGAGATAGCCAACTGTGCTTGAGTTTCAATCGGAAGATTTGCTTTTATTGCCAAAAGAATATGATTTATTCCTTTTCCCTGTATAAGAGAAGAAATATGAAATGAAACACTGTTACAAGTATTGTTGAATTACACTGATGGACCCCTGAAGAGTAATCAGTTCCACTTCTGTTTAGTCCCAAGTGCTGATCAAATTGTAAGGATCACTTTGAATGTCGTCATTAAGCTCGAAGACTTACTATCACGGTACACTTTGAATGATATTAATTAGTTGGAACCGATTTACAGGAGGCCTTGCTCAACCTAGGTTTCGTGTGTGTTGCCACACGTCATCAAGAAGAACTCGTGTTGCTCAGTGCTGCAGTCATTGGTGTTACCACTGAGCTACATGTAGGGCTTTTCTTTTCCAACCAACTAAATTGTGGAACTGAAGAATTATGCAAACATTAGTAGGATGATGTTGTCGCATCGAACAAAATGTTTATACTAGTTAGTGTAGACAAACAAACTACTCACGGAGAGTAGTTAATGCCACATTCTCTAGATGTGAATGCTAACCAAACTCTATTAGAAAGTTGACATAAGACTCTGACTGTTAGGCAGAATAAAAAAGTAAACCTTAGAAAAGTCAGATCGAACAAACAGTCCTGTAGACATGGAAGTAAATGAGTTCTGACCTCACCTGTGAAGGCGAGTATGGTCTTCCTCATTAAGCTTCAGGATCCAATACAAACCATAGCTATGTATATTAGTAAGGATCTTTAGGGTATTGAAACGAAAGTACGAAGTGAAAATACATAAACAGAATCTATTTTGATGTTAATAGGGATTTCGAAGTGGTATTCATCACGGACTGATGTCAGTTGGAGAATCATTGAAAGCCTAGGATAACTAGACTGCTACTTCTTTTCAGTATAACTCCTTAGTAATAGTCACCAACAAAGTGGTAATCCGAAGTTCTAATGAGATACCGTGATCTGTGCGATCAACCAGTCGGAAGCAAATGGGATGGCAACTGAAGACCATGGTTGATAGTCACGCTGTATCGCGAAATGACAGAATTTGGAAACTGTGAACCAATAAGCTCTGAACATCACAGTGGCTGAATGTTTAAAACATTCGGCATGAAACCTGAAGGCTGTAAGCCAGATTCCTAGCCGGGTCGTGGGTGTGTACTGCTGAAGAGTTCCATAGTGGAACAAAACGTTCGTCAAGTGCTCCCAGATTTTTAGTGGTTCTCCTCCATTTTGATAGCATTCATATAAGGTAGTAACCTTACAAACAGAGCCATAATGTAGGCTAACCTAGTACAATATCTTCTTTATCAAATAAATAAGCACGATGACTAACATATGTAAGCCTCAAAATTGAGTGTTACCTCTTTCATTTAAATGAATAAAAGAGAAATATTTCATAGCCGTAAGTGAAATTTGCACTAAGCTAGTTTTCATATTGAATTAGTGCTAGACTTGTATCACCATGAAAGCTTCATTTTAGGCCGAAACCTCTCAAGTAAAGGAATACAATTGAACTAGAAGTCAAGTGCTTCATCTAAAGTGACTTTGTCTATGAGTAACCTTTTGGAGAACCGCCAAAAAGCTGAATCACAGCCGTTTCATTTCAGTAAGGACTCTTCAGCAGTGCTCAGTGGTCACCCCGCCCAGGATCAAACGCATGACCTTCACGTCTCACGAAATGTAGCCACTGAGTCAGAGTCCAGCAGTTCGTATTTTCTTACTTTTTAATGAACATTCAGGATATATTGTGACCACCAGCCAATGTTGTTGGCGAGCATTTGTTCTCATGCCTGACTTGGTTTACCCTCACCAGGACTTTAAGAAAGCGATATCGAAGACTAGATTGAATTTCTGGCGGGGTCGTTATTTCTCACTCCTGAGAGTGCCATACTTATACAAAATAGCCGTTCGATGCTTTCCGGTTTTCAAGGGTGTCAATTCATGTCTAATACTACATTGTAATCAACCAATCTTCGCAAACCTCCAGATTGAATTTTCGACTTCAACTCTGGTCTGACTCTTGTCGCATCCTCAATCAGTGATCAGTTCTTATTGTATTCCTCTTCTCCAAAGTAACCTATTATGCCATCTGGTTGAAAAATAACCAGAAAGTGTCCCACAGTCATTTTGTACATTTTCAAAAGTTAAAGTTTGAAGTATACTATTGTATAATAGCTGATGGTTTTATTATGTCAAGCAAAATAAAGTGGATGAAAAGTGAGCTTTGATGATTTGATACCGATGATAATGAGGAAGATCTTGGCCAATCAATTGTAGAGTCCAAACTATCTGTTTGCTGGAACATGATTTGCATAACAAATAGTGTCCAGCATGAGTTATTCTCTGAGCTGAGTTTTCACTTAGCAAACGTCTCACTGTCATGCTAAACATCATCTTCAGAGCTTCTCAAAGAAGTGAAATAATTGGTCATACATGGATATTTATAATGTGCTATTCAGTCTGAGTGCAATTTGATTGATCGTTTAATCAGTGCGTGACGAATGCTGAATTTGAATGGTAGACTTCCTGCCTCTGGTTGTCTCAGCTCATGCATATCACACCTGTAAATCAAAATTTAAACCAGTCATAAACCTTCATCTCTTCATTCAAGCTACAGGAGCAAACCAATCACACGAAGCAAAATCAACCTGCTACAAGCAAACAAGCGGTCACAAATTTGTACACCCCTCTAAGATAATTAGAGGCAGGAAGCCGACCACTGACGTTCACAACACGCCTACGTACTCACCAACTCACCAATCAAATCACAGTCAAACAGAGTAGCACGGTATAAATATACATGCACAACCAATTGCTTCACTTTCTTGTGATACTGTGATGCACTGATGCTGATATCCGGCATGCTATTGAAATGCTTGCCAACCAAGGCAACATAAACCAAAGTAACACATCAAGTTCAGTTGGTATCCAGCCTCCCCGACCTTCAAATAAAAAAATAATAAAAAACTCATTCAGTTAGTAAAACATCTTACTAAATGATCAGCAATCCTTAGCAACATGTTAACAGCACCTAGACGGAACGAAATATCCTCCCATTGTGAATCAACCATTGTACAAGGTTTATCATCACTCCATGGTAGATAGTAATAGTGTAGTCCATCTGATACAGGATTTGTTGGAGGTGTTGTTGATGCACACGGTGTAACAGATTCATCCAATTTATTGCCATGATTACCAATGCTAACTTCAAATTCAATCGGTCCATCACGTTTCTCTTCCATCATTGTCGCAGAAAGAAATGCCACATACAACTGATATTTTCTTCGACGTAATGATTTCTGTAGGACAAAAAAAGAAACCTATTGAGACGAAAAAGACGGATGGTAGTCTCATTGCTTTTACTACTACTGCTCATACTACGACCATTACTATCGCTACTATCACTACTACTACTACTACTTCTCTCCGTATTTGTTTCTCTCATATACCTTTTATTCTTCCCTATGATCATTTTTATTCCTTTTGTTGACTTTGATTATCGTCACTGCTCCTTATGATTCAATACTGTTTTATTCACAGCCTTTTGGTGGGATAGCAAGTTGAATAGTATAGTACCTAACTGATTAGCACTCATTATGGAGTGACATCAATTGGGAAACTATGAAATTTAGTGGTTTACATCTTCCGACTTCTATCTATTTCACAAGTAGTGCGACCATCCTTTAATATCACGGTGAGTATTTTGTGTCGAATTCTACTTGACCGAACCCTACCAGGGTTGCCGGTGCACACTGTTGACGAGTCTGAAAATGCTACGAAACGGATGTCTAGTACTACCAAGTTTTCGAAGGTCCACCCAGTTAATATCAGTCCGTGACGAATACTACCTTGAATTCAGTCAGTCAACCAATCAGTGTTCACAAGCCATCCCAAAGGTACGCATTCGTGACCAAGTTGGGGGTCGAATGCAGGACCTCGGTGAGCATGTTAACCAATAAGTCACTGAGTTGGAGCCTAATGGTCCACAGTTTACTACTGTTTGGTATCTGGTCCCCTTATAAGTGGTTGACCCCGCGGGTCCTCATCTCAAAGCATTTCACAAAAGAGCACTATACACTGCAAACAGAGCTGATTTTATGTGATGTCATATCAGTTTCTTGTCACCACTTGCAGTGGAGTTGTTATGAGGACAATTTTATCGTTAAGTGAATACGGACCATCTACAATGAGTTGTATCAAATTTACTTGGTTAAACTAACCTGTATTCTTGCCACTGTGTCTGGTTCCAGTGGTTTAACTATATCAGCTGTTGGTTCATCTAATAATTCAGTTGATAATTCTAATAATACTCGACCACGATATGCTACACCTTGACCTTTGCCTAAATTCAATGCTTCATATTTATCCGGTAGGTCACTGTACTCTCTTGGGGAACCGTATAGATTGACAAAACTTGGACCAAATGTTGGTAAAAATCCTGAATTCAAGGGTGAGGGAGGGGCGAGGAGGGAATGGAAAATATCATTTAGTTAGTATGTAGACTAATCACTGAAGGTTATAATGTTTCAATTAGATTGGATAAAACAATTTTATGAGGATTAAATCAAATCTGGTTTCGGTTTTTTTATTAAGAAATGTATGATTATCATTAGAACAAAACATCGTATGGTGTGAAATCGTTAAATCCTTAAGTGTTTCCTACATACTCAGCATTTTAAAAGGACAATATTCTTACAAGTATTATGTCTATGCTTTGTATTGCTTCCAAAAGAAATTGAATGTCTGAAAGCGGTGGCAGTTTGGGGTTCGCTGACCTCTAGTATTTCCTTGTGAACATCTCCTTAAGAGGCTTATCGGCATCTCTACCATTAACTTCATAAGGTAATGAAACCTATTGGAAGATGACGCGAATGTTGAGGTATTATTTCTACTGACTTTGACTTTGTTCAAATTGTAAGTTGAGGAAGAGATTTTTAACACAACTTGACCTCCATGATCCCATATTGAACTCGGTCAAACTGGTAAAGAATCTTCGTTAGTGATATTAAAGTGTCATTTCACCAGCCTGACGATCAAGCATACTCCCTGGCAACGAGATACTTTTTCTCTTCTAATTCCTAGGGCTTATTTCATCAAATGACTTATGTACTAAGTGAAATTTTAGATTTCTGTTTGTTAGAGATCCATTGTTTAGCTTCCGAAGAACTATAATCACAAGTTAGATACATGAATTTCAAATCTATCACTCTTTTAACATCAAGCCACCCAAGTTCGAGGACTACCAAGTTATGGTAGAACCATAGTAACACAATAATGGTGACATAACTTGCCTTTCCAAAAAGTCTCAGCAGTATTCCGATGAATATACTATGAAGTGTCTTAATAAGTGTTGAACTGACACTATATGTTATCATCAGTTACGTTTTTAGGCAGGGAGATAGACGTCAGCTTCTATGCTGTCATGGTTCAAGGGTCAAAAAGTCAACACTTTATTTGATATGCAGAGTTTCAGCAGGTTTGCTTCAACCACCGCTAACCAATATATCTAAATCATTTCAAGTACATAGTCAACAGCTTTTAGAGTCGATGCTGTGTGACGGATTCCACGCCTTCTTAGCTGATCGTTATAACGATTCATGTTCAGAGTGAATTCTCTGGGCTAAGAGTTTAGTTGACAAACTTTTAAATGTCATGCTAGATACCGTCACCGGTGCATTAGAGCTTCACAAGGAAGTGAAGTAATTGGTTGTGCATGCATATTTATAAGGTGCTAATTTACCTGAGAGTGATCTGATTAGTCACCTGAGAGGTGCGTGGGCGTATACCGAACCTGATTGGTCTACTTCCTGCTTCTAGTTTTCTCAGAAGCGCGTATAACTGTGTCATGCTTTGATTTCTTCTGCTTGCTTGTGGTATGATAGCGTCACTTCGTTGTGATTGGCTGACGATTTTTGTTAGAAGGAATTGATGAAGATTGTCATTCAGATGGAATTTTTCGCTTAATGTCTAATGGAGGAGTTTGATTACTAAGAATTCACTCTCATACAGCTTACGTTAAAACTCAGCAAACCGGCTTTATCCAAGTTTTCTCAGGTCATATGAATATCTGAATAATGATGCAAATGATTCGACTACTAACATTACTACTGATTATTATACTAGTAGTGTAAGAATCTAACCGAATAAATGTCAGCATGCTAGGTCTGCTTGATGACTAGTGGTGGAATCCAGGACGCTTGTTTCATCCTATATAGAACTCACTAACTGTTCTCACTGACACTCTGACCCAGTACTCATCGTTTCAAACACCAAAGCATTATCCACTAGGCTACTGAGGCACGTCAGTCACTTCTTGTGCAATGGGTATCAGTTGTTGTTAAATGATACCTGTAACTTCTGGTTGTTTTACTGGGTTGAAATGCTCAATTTATGTTGTCAGATGGTCTCCTATGTGAATGCCTCGATATTTCAAGAGTATCACTAGAGGAAGAGTCTATTCAAGAAGATGATTTAATCGAATCTTCTACGACTGAATATGAAGATATCTCACTGATGATTACCAATGCACAACGTCATAGTGAGGGTGAAATTACAGTAGTTAATTCTATTGTTAAGGCAATTTTTCATTCGATTACACTTTAGATATCAAGTATCCGTCCAATATAGTCATTAGATGATATGAGAACAAAGTAAAATGAATTAGGCACCTGTTTTAGTGAATAATGTCGTACCTTCAGGGATACGTCAATAACAATTAACCACTTCTATACTTTTTCTACTCAGCATATTATGCCTCATCTGCTCATGTATATATCTTACGATTATAGAAGTTAGAGGGTTAGATTATTGTGAAGATAAATGAATTGTGTACTAGTAGTTTTTCTTGTTGCCACTTTTTCAGGGAATCTATACAAACCTGGTTTTCCTTCTATCATTAGAAATGGGCGATTTAAACTTATGTATACTTTGATTTCAGGTTGTAGATGAGTCTTGCAGATGATTAACATAACATCGATAAGTAGATGGTATGCACTAGCCAGTAATAATCCTTGTGATGAATTGTTGTTTTGTTATTTACCTCCCGAAGTAGAAATAACATATCAGTCGACATTGATTAACCTGATACCATCTTGTATGGAGATTAAAAGACACCAAACGCTAGAAAGAAGACAGACTCGAAGAGGTAATGTCAATACTCAACGTGAAATCAACTGTACTAAATAAAACTATTTTACAACAGGAAAAAGTTGAATTAGAAGTTGAACTGACGATCGTTACATACTAAAAGATAAGATCCAATGAATCAACAGTCTTTTGAATTAAACTAAGCTAAATCGACTAGTAATGAAGTTGGTAACAAACGTTCAGTATCTTCAAAAACATCATGAATGATTTCTAGAGTATTGACAAAAGTGAAATAGGCTTATCTGAAGCAGTTAGCTCTACTGTACTAAACATAGTGAATGATAAAAATACGACTGAAAGTGGAAATTTCGTTGAAACTATGATTATTTTAACTGAACATAAACAGTATGTTAGAGAAAAGTGATTTTTGTTGTTTATCAGATGAGTAGTTTAGAAATAGTATTTCAATAAATATACACATACATTCATTCTTTTTTAATCCTCATTACCTCCAAACAAATGAGATAAATAATAGACAAATTGAATTATAATGGGAATCAAACTACAACAATGTAAAATAACATGAGGTTATAAGTGATATTTGTTTTCATAAGCAAAATATGTAAATAATTTGAGTGATTTAAAGTGTTTATAATGGGCGAGGCGTGCAATAATGTGCTTAGGGAATAAGACTGATCATCCGTTATGTGCATGTACAAAGACAGGAGATAAAATGCGCTGTCATACACAGATATACGAACACACACACACACACACTGAGGTGTACACACATACATAGATTAATTGATTCATTCACACATACACACACATACACACATATGCAAACACATACATACATACATACATCATACATACATACATACATACATACATGAAAGCGAAAGGAATCGTAGGTAGTATTGTTTAAAATAACTAATCTCAACACCCAAAGCATAAGTGAGTCGTACCTTCACTACCTAGAATTGAAAAAATGGAGATACATTTTATTAGAGATAAGAATTAACGCTGATTGCTTATTCATTCAAATGCATAGAAATTTGTAGCGAGACAAATAGAAACCAAAAGAAAAAAATAACAGATAGCTTTGTTTTTTAAGATGCATGGATACATGAAATGTTAGCAAAAGAGTGGAAACATGCCATATCATGTATAATCAATCAGCAGACCATGATAAGAAAAAAAAACAACTTCAGGATGCAATTAGGCAATTTAGGCAGGAAACGATAAGGTTTACAAATATAGCAGGGGTTAGATAACTGAAAAAGTATTACTTTAAAACGATGTTATATAACAGGGTGAAAAGTTTTCGCCTTTTATCTCAGGATATTGTACATTTTCTTTTCTCATAAAAATCTTAATACTGTGTCAATTAAATAAAAATTCAATTTGAAGGTGTTTATAGGTGGATTTATTACTTCACAGTTGATATTCATTATCGACTGAGATTAGTTTGTGTAAGGAAATACAAACCTTTAAATTCCTAATCAGAAAAGTTGTATACTCAGGTGAATTAAGGATACACTGCCTCTACATAGACAGAAGAAATCAATGTAGACCTTTGTATACTAATGCATCTGTTCCAATTGACCCATATTAAAGTAGTATATAAATAACAAGTGAATAGAAAATGCTTGATATCAAAGTAAACAATTTGGAGATGGTAGCTAATCGAAATATTCAACGTTTAAAAGACTTCGAAGAGTGAATACATCTTCACCATTGTGACCACTCTTTAGCCAATTTTGTAATAGTGCTGAACCATTGCGCATACATTGAGAAGACCATTCGAAGACATCACGCTCCAGACCGGGGCGTCAAGTGGAACCCAGATAGAAAATGGCGACTTAGGCTTCCGAGGTGAAGGTGACATTGATGAGATCTTGTAGAAGAAAGTAGAGATGGATTGGACATACATTGAGAAGAGTATTTGGGGACACCCTCGAGGCCCTCTAGTCGGATCCGAGTGGTAAACGACGAGTTGGGCGTCTGAGCTGAGTGTGACATGGAGGAGATAGTGTGGGGAAGAAATGGAAGGTTATGGGCAATGGTGGAGTCAGGTAGACAAGACTGCGGAGAAAAGAGTGAAATGTAGCAGTGCTACTGAAGCCCTATGTTCCACTAGGAACCCAAGTGATAAATAATCAATGAATAAATGGAATTATTATTGTGTGTGAACAGCGTGATCTAGTTTCTTACCATTTACTGTTTAAAGTGTCGATAAGTTGTAGAAGTTTTATTCTCTGATAAAGTAGCTTCCATGAGGTTACGAAATGTCAGAAATTCGTTGTTTTTCTACCTCATTGGGATTTTATTTCATTATTAATCTGTGTGAAATATTTTAGTTTTTGCATGTGTTCAATAATTACACATATTGAGATATGAGCTTATAAATTACAATTTAAAGCTTCATTTACCTTCAAGTGGAAACCAAATGAAGGTCTAAAATGATTAACTTTTTGCAAAGGTTTTGAAATATTTTTTCAATGTAGTCGAAGTAAAGACTGTAGATTATTATTTTTGAAGTAGAATAGGTAGGCAGGAATTATAAAGTTTACTAATTAACACTAGACGTTATCTAATGTTCCTGGTTATCAATATAGATAATAGATTCTTCAGTAGGTAACTGTGTGCTATAGTGATATTGTTACTAGCGGTCTGGTTGAATTCTGGGCTACTAAACTTCTGCTCATTGAAATTGTTCCGTTCCAGCTGTTTTAAGACATTCAAATATGTCTTCAAGTAATGATATGCATTTTTGAGCTTTTTTTTTCAAATGTTTCCACTATTTTATTTTGCAGTAAAACCAAGAGAAAACATTATGATAGACGGTAGTGTATCCTAAAAAAGCACAACAATACAGTAACCAACGCTTCATGGATTCGAGTGTTAGTGAGAGAAACATTTTGGACTGTAAGGTAGGTAGCTTTAGCTGATGAACAAGTCCCAAATAAGACGAAATATGCACCTAATGGATCTCGGTGTTAACCAAATTTCCGGGGTAGTTAACTTGAATTCGAGATTTTCGCATTGGCAGAGTGAAGGATCATTATCACCAAACTCAAACATCTTGAGATCAAGCAACTGCCTAACAACAGCTGGTTTTTACTGTATGAGGTGTGTGCGTGGCAGATACATCATATGTTGACATATAAATATGATGTGCTCAGTTATGCCGATAAATTCTTTATATCTAGAAGGATGTACACTTCATCACCTTGACCACAAAGTAAAGGTACCTAGCCTGTAAATGCTCTGATGGTGTTCTGGTCACAATATATTGCCAGGTATGGTGAGAGCAGTAGGACAGTACATGGTTTTAAGGTTGTGTGGTATATGCCTGTACCACAGCATGAAGTCGGCTAGTCCTACACAAAGTCAGTCGCCACCCGAACAGCTCAGTGGTAACGTCACTGATTACAACACGGAGTGATGTGAATTTGAAGCTTAGAGGTGAAATCAGTTCCCTTGACGTTACACAGACTTCTTACTGATGAGTGTAACGATCACTGGAACTAAGTCAAGCAAGACTTCCTGACGATTGTCTCCAAACAGTTATCATACAGAATATTTCTTATTCTACCCTATTCAAGAAAATATTTCCGGTCAACAAAGCTAAAAGTGATCAGAAATTCAAGTGCAAAGTGTACAATTAGAATAGAACAGGAACACAAAGAAAACACACCAATAAAGATTTGTGCAAATCTGGTGAGGAAAAACAATGAAAAGATGATGAAATCAAATGAAACAGTGCAAAACACACTAAATACAAACATCATCATCATTTACTATTAGCCAGGATGCAAGCAAGTTGAAATTAACCGCATACTGTGAATCAAATCTTTACATCAGATCTTTTGTGAGCGTTGAAAAGAATAGGAATTTTCCTACGAACTGTTTAAGCATATTGTAACAACAAGGGTTCTGATGGACGGAATCAATACTAACAGAATCATTATGAACAACTGAGAAGTTATTGTCATGCAAATTTCTCTGTAACAGTTAAACTTAGGGACTATGATAGAGTGTATACCGACATTTGCTCCAGTAGCTTAATGGACGACGCTGTGGCGTTTGAAGCGATGGGAACTGGGCTCGAGTCTCAGTGCGGACAACATCTCTCACTGGACTTGAAGTACATCCAGCTGACGAGTCCCATATAGGACGAAATGCGTGTCCTGAATTCCCCTTCTAGTCGTCAAGATTTGTATACTATAGTGCTTATTTGATATAGGACATAGTGATACAGTATTATTTACTAGATGGCGTTTCCATATTCATCTCATACTACCTTTATGTAGTTCAAAAGTTCTTTATTCTTTTACTTTAATGGTAATAAAATCTTCCAGATATTCTCAGTATGTGATGAATAGTTCCTGTTATATATGTGTTAGGTGTAGATTCAATTAACAAGGATTGTGCTATCGATCCCTCCCTCCATCTAGTTATATGAGATTTCAAAACTTTCACCTTATCTCACCCATCCTACAGCATGATTATTGGTTAATGCGTGTAGAGCAAAGGTTGAGTTTTTCTCCAAACTAGTGGGGTCTACCATTGTATGTATGATCTACATCAGTTGCTTTGACCTATATACTTGACCTGGTAATCATTACATAGTATCCGAGAATTTAGGTTATTTTACTCAATTGTCTCTAATGGAACTTTTAGCTTACAAAATTTCTCTGAAAAAGTTTGTTAAACATTGTTGAGAATTCTACGTACAACTTCCAATGTGTCTATTTTTCTACGGCAGCATTACATAGGGTTTGAATTCCCTCTTAGGCATGCTGTAGTCACCACTATCAGTGGTAATGTCTATGGTTGTGTTTTTCACTTTATCGTTGTAAACCTGTTCAGTTTTTTTCCTATTGTTTTAGTATATAAGATGAGATACTATCATGTTCATACTTCATTTTATTCTGATTAATTATACGTGTATGAGTTCAGTCCAAGTAATCACTATTACTTTACATACTACTGATAATCCGAAATGCCAGAAATATCTAATTTAATCCTACTCTGACCTTAAGTGCTTGACTAGTGAATAAAACCTGATTCCTTCATATTACATGCATTCTTAGGTTCACGCATACGCATACATATATCCACCAAAATTATGCAATAAAAGATAATCGATATATGAAACCATCACCGTGTATTGCTTTTGACTTTTAAACTAGTTATATACATACCATTAGTTCCTTGTGAAGAGGTTTCAATTAAACTTATTGTAGCTGTTCCAACTGCATCATCATTAGAACCTCGATCCCTAATGTAAAACAGTAGGCGAGATGAACAATAATACCCATTTCTATGTTAAAGTGATTTTTAAAAATAAAATATATACTCATTGAGCACTGAATGAAATACGCACACTTTTTAAAATAGTCTAAATATTATGATTTTTTAATTGGTATCAGTCATTCTTTTGCTAAGAATAAATACCCAATCACAGGTCAGACTTAGTCTGCCAGTCTGATCTAAATAATCAACCTTGTACTTTCTGTTATCTGATTGGTTAAATAGTCATACTTAAAATGTAACTCACCAATATAAATGCAGCCCAGTCAGAGGAGGAGTGAAGACGAACAAATTATTTTAGTTAGATGACTTCATAGTGTGAGACAGAAGCAGAAAAAGCAGTTGAAAACAGAACAAAATAACACAAACAATTTTTTCATGAATCTTTTCCCTCTGTCATCACCCAGAAAAATGATGAATACTAGTAAAATGATATTTGTAAGGCATTATGATGAAAGCGTATGCAGAGCTATATATATATATATATATATATGTCTAGCATACTGAAACAACAAAGCAATGGTTAATAGAAGTACTCTTCTACGTATGTTAAGCGCTACTGAAATAGAGTTTTCTTTGAAATATAGATATACAGGTATACACACACTCAGGTGCACACACATACACAGAAACATACAAGACAACAATGGAACTAACCAGTGGTGTCATCTCGAAAAGCAGAAATTTGTGATATAGAAATCGACCCTGCTCCTATTGGATCATTATAACCAATACGATCCCTAAGCATCCAAAAAAGGAATATATCTACAGTGAATATATATATATATATATATATATATATATATATATATATATATCGTACAGCAGAATTTTGATATAAACTGAAAATCGTAGTAGTATTTTACACAAAACTGGTCGAAAGAGTTGATGATAGTAGTACTTAATTCAGTTAGGAGATTTGTAGGAGTTTATCGATTACAAGGTGGTATTCATCACGGAATGGTATCAGTTAAAGAAACTTCATAGATATTTCGTCCTAGTATGCGACTTCTCAGAAGTGCTCACCTATGACCCCTTCTGAGGTCGAAAAAAGAACATGCAGGCTACGTGGTCAGAATGTAGCTATTCAATCGCCAGGAGTCAATCCACAATTTCTTACCACTGTCATCATAGAGTATTTGTCATCACAACCGACTTACTTTGGCCCCCCCCCCTCCAAGTCACGACTTCTTATTAGAAGTTAGAGCAATCTTATCTTGAAGCATCTGAGTAATAAGCAGTGGACAGCTGTTCAGTTTGGAGGCTGCTGTGGATTTATTGACTTTAAAGTACTTTTCATCACGGACTGACATCAGTTAGGGAAGAAACATTTAAAACCTATGAGGACGAGATAGCTATTTAGTCCTTGCAAAGAACTTCTCAAGCTTTAGACCATAACTACTATTACTTAATTCTATTTTGATAGTCTATTGAGATTCTATTGGCATAGGTTCGTGAATTTAATGTCTTAATATTGTTAGTTAATTCCTTTCTCATTCTCGCCCACTGGGTGATTACTCTCGTATCCCTTTTCAATATTTAAATTTTATGCTACTTAATATTGGTGAGTAGTATAATTTACAAGTGAATTTTAAATGCAGTTTACGCAGTATACAAATGTTTCAATAGATACAGTATAATCTATACTTTCCAGTAATATTACTTCATCCACAGCTTGAGTGTTCATTTTGACTAGTTGTGTTTCTCCCATAACTTTGCATCCTGTCCTGGCTCATGACGATGTTGAGACTCCTCTAGCTGTTCTTTGATCTTCTATTTTACCCTGAACACATGTTATCTCGTGTTCTTACTTCAAAGTGGGAACATATGCACGTCTTTTATCTTCCATTCTGGTTTGCTTTGTACACAAACTTGCTGTTTTTACTGGAAATAAGCTTTCCGTAAGGTGTTTGATGATGATAACCCTAAAGATGCCCTGTGGTTCGAGGTGTATAATTTATGATTCCCTGTTTTTAATAATATGGAAACATATTGCAGATAGATTCTGTGTTTTTAGGATTTTACGCTTAAATCAAGTATTTGATTTATTACGGAAGAATTATCCGTTCACTTTGGTTCATAACTAACTACTTATCACCTTTTCTTCTATGATTCTTTTCTAATGATTCACTGTCTCTGATGCACTGATAGATTTCTCAAAAGTCAAAATTGAATTACATCAGCATTTGATACTGCTTTCAACTGACGTCAGTCTATGGTGAATGCTACCCTTAACATAAAATTTCTATTCACATCAAAATACATTATTGTGTAATGGTCATTAGTGACATACTTCGAGACGAAAATCCTGAAGTTCTAGTAGTAGCCATGACCTATCAGGTCAATCGGTCGGAAGGAAAGCTGGTGCCAACCAAAGACTATAGGTGATAGTTTCGCTATATCGCGAAATGACAGAAGTAGGAGATTGTGAACGACTGAACTCCTATCAAGTTTCTGGATGGTCAATGAGTTTTCGTGAAATATGAAGGTGTTCAGTTCGATCCCTAACCGGGTCGTGGCTATGTACTTTTGAGTCGCTTATTGCAACGAAACGGTTGTTCAGTGCTCTCAAATTTTCAATGATTGTCTAGAACTTATGTCAGTCCATGATGAATATTACCTTAAAAATAAAATCCCACTAATTTCAAAATACAGTAATATTGATTAGATCACAGAAATCCTCAGAAAATGAGTAATACCAGTTACTTTGGAGGAAGAGGAAATAACAAGCAAACGGATAAATCAACTGCCCTAGTCTCTAAACGAATACTGAAATGTAAGGCAAACGTTTATGTAATGAAACCAGTTGGATCCAACCGTCAACCCAGTACTATGTGATGACTGTTTGAATACTCATATACTGAAACTAAAAATAATTGATATTTGAATATTAACAAACAATTTGATAAAAGTTATGACAATTTCTCTAGATTTTAAGATAAATATTTCTTTTTTTGGAGGGGAGGGAGGGGGGGAAGGTTAAAGCAAAGGTTATACAACAACTGACCTATCACTATAGTTAATGACAGTAAGATAGATATATTTGAATGCTAAAATACAACTTTTTCAACTCATTTTAATCAATAATTCATTCATTAGAAGACAATTACACTCTTGTAGAATATTCACTTAATTTCATCTTAAAGACTGTTGCCAGAATCATTTTATATAAACTTGTGGATTATGAACTCAAATGAAACTTCTAGTGATAAAGCTGGTGGAATAAGTTGTTTGAATAAGAGAGAGAGAGAGAGAGAGAGAGAAGGGACCATTGAAATCACAAGACAGAGTCTCTATGAAGTGGGAAGGTTATTTAATTCGTTAACCTCAGTAGTAGCTGAAAGTAAGTTTAATATCAGTTGGAATATGATTGGTAGCTGTATATCATGGCATCAGTAAGAATTATGTGCCTGTGAACATCTTACAGATGCTCTAAGTTAAACGAATCCAGTTCATTTATATTATACTTCTGCAGACGTCACACTACGCTTAACTGAATGACCACTGCTGAGCGCACAAGTGATACTGAATAGATTACGTAACTAGCAGGATAGCTTGCACTGGTCACAGCCTAAAAACATGAGGTTCAGCTCCTATATGATCCATAATCGCATACTTTTCACTGCTCTGGGATTAGAGAACAATACTCCTTCACTATGGACTAACTTTCTATGACCTTCCGATTGGGCATTGTTCAAAAGTTACATGAGTGGTTAGAAAGGTTACTGAAAGTTTTCGAGGGAATAAGTTCGAAATGTTAAGTGTTTTACACCTTTTTCTTTTTTAGTGACCCCTGGGAAAGGTCATGAAGATGAGACGCTTTCTGATCTATCCTGAGCTCGTCTTCTTCTACTTCTCCCAAGTATGCTGAAATTTGGGGATTAAAGTTCATCGAATATTTGGAAAGTCAAGTTCTTAAAATCATTCATCGTTTCTTTGTATCTTAATCGTATGTTTTTACACCAATTATTTACACATATGATTATTATCATCACTATGATGTAAGTTCATTCCAAAGCTTTTGTGCTTAACATTTGGAGGGGAAAGTGATAAGCAGAAAACAACTCAGCAGTATATACAGCTGAACTAACAAATTAGTCAAAGTACTCATGGTTGAGATTAGACTACACTTTGATTACTTAGTTTGAGATAATGATAAAGAAGGCAATGTGGATTCGGATTCAATTCTCCAAAGGTGCAGGTTTTTCTGGCTGGAATACAGTTAGGCGCTTACAGTTAAGTCATTTACATGATTGAAATTCACGTGCACTAGGGATGTACTCATTTACAAAGAACTGAGTTCTTATGGAGAACGGTTTGTGCAGATAGTTTTGGACTCATGTCCTTCAAAATTTTACTGATTTGTTCTTAACTACTTATATATTAATCAGTAGCATAAGAAAAACCTACGACTTTTACCGTGGCCAGGTAACTTGATAATTTCCAAATGCATCTCCATTGACTTCAACTGATGTTTGATTGGAAAACATTGAGCATTGAGTTGTATCAAGAGAAAAGGGGCGTTTAGAAATGCCTTGAGGACGTTAGGACTAAAAGTACGAAAGTATGTTGGTGTACAACTGGGAGAAAGTGACCTTTGTACGAGAACAAGAATAGTAGATATGTAAATGATATCTTACTTAGTGGACACTGGTTTCACTTATTCACAATATAAAAAAGTCATTTTCATAGAGTCTATGAGATGATTGAACTAGCCAGTGATTTTATATTCCTCAGTCTTGACGGTGACCTACCAGCCAACTGTGGATTTACAGTCATTCAAGTAACTGAATTATTTTGATGTCATTTACTCTAAAAGAGATGGTAAGAGTTTATAGACAAGAGTTTCATACTTTTCAGCCCTCATCAAAGAGGCTCGTTTGGAACTTGAAAGAAAATAATGTTGTTTCAGAAATTCAAACATTCATTTCTCAGTATCCAGGTTAAAAACACAGTTACTAATTCTTATTCTCTTTAGAACTGGGTTAAATAGAAATAGTGAAAAATACCATGCTGCTTACTTCGAAATCCTTACAAGTCGATCATCTCTGAATTTTCACCAGTTAAATAATCAATTGGAAAATATTTTTTCATGTTTATTTATCACTTCAGAATTTCAAATCATCTCATGTTTAATCTCTCGTGCTCCTGTATTTTCAGTGGTTTTCCAACTGATATCATCTTGTGATGAACAACAACTTCATTTTATGTTCATTTTAATTACTTTCCTCAACGACATCATGTGGCATACTACTTAAATGTATTCTTATAAGTAGCACACACGACATTTCCCCTTCCAAAAAGGTAATAAGAATACTGGGATGATTATTCAAAGAAAGGAGATGATGCCATGAAATAACTACCAAATAGAATATATGAATAAAAAAACTTTTATTTAAATACTTACCAATCAAAGAATGTGAATTTTAATTTCTCGCACATTGATGGAAACTGTAAATATAAATCAATGAATTATTAGGTAAATATAAATTCACTCAGAAAACTACCAGATAAGGATTAGTGTCTCATTCGAATTCCATTCTGACTACTATACTGAACCGAATTGATCAGCGTCTCTTGGTATATGAGCTGTTGTGTAGATACCTGTGTATTATGCGAAGATACATTCAAATGAAACTTGTTTATTGGTCAGTATTATTATTATTATTATTCGAGACGTACATTTCAACCTATCCAGGAATCAAAAGTTGAATGTACCTACAACCTAGTGAGTGAAACATGGACCTGGCATCCATCACTTCAAGTGCCAGAGTGTTGTTCCCTAGGCTGATGAAGTATGACAGCCAACTATGACGTGACGCATACCTTACATTTAAAGCAAGGTACAACGAACTGATGAGTTCCTAGCAGGAAAAAACATACGCCACAGATTCTCCTGTTAGTCATCATGGATGGATCTGGTTCTGTGGTGTAATCACTGAAGAAAACGAGGGGATAATTTGCTTAGTGATGGCTGTTCATGGGGACCAGGTCGTATCTTTCATCTCATTTGGGATTCATCAACTAGACATACCTAAATCTCAGTCAGTGATACTGTTCCCAGAGAGATTCGAACCAAGAAGCCGCCGCTGCAAACACTGTGGCATCATCCACTAGATTACGGAGTTACAATAAGACGTTCTCGTGGCTAAGAAGCCTAGAAGATAAAGCTTTGGCATCTGAAGCGATGGTTACTTGATTCGAGTCTAGGGGGGAACAATATCACCCACTGAGATGCAAGACCATTCAGCTGATAAGTCCAAAGTGAAACGAAACCTGTGTCCTAGATTTCATTGCTAGACGTCACTGCGTAAATTATAACATGATGATTCTTCAAGCAATATGGAGGCATCTGCATTAGAGTTCATGTGGCAAGAAAGGTTGAGCACTGTGATCCAGCATAACAAGGCAACAGTACCAATGAATAACTAAATCTGATTATTACCAGAAAAAAATCTGATGTAAAATCAAACAAAAATTTATTTTAAGGGTTATTTTTGTCAACAAAGGAACTTCGGACCTCTGGATCCGAAATCAGTGGCCCAATGACAACGCGCCAACAACAGAACCCGACGGTCCGGGGTTCTACCCGTAGCGGGGTTGTTTGTGTGCAACGCTCGGGAGTCCCATACCTGGACGAGACAAATGTCCAGTTCTCCCACGTTTTCAATGTTTCTCCAGCTGATATCAGACCATGATGAATAGCAGCCTGAGATCCAACAAACCTCAAAACTGAATAAAGATATCATTGAATTTGCTTCATCAGGTGACGAATGAGTATAATAACTGAAAGTTAACAGTCATGCAGATATTTGCCGGTCTCCTGTTGATTATTTAGGAGGGAGTAACTTCTTTCATGTCGTTAGTTAAACCGATGCTATTAGCATACACTCAAACGACTGGTGGAATAATTCCAGGTAATTAACTTACCCACTAAGACATGATTTCAATATCAAATCATTCATTGCATAAAAATTTAATTCATTCTATGGAAATTTTACTGAATAGGAAAGACTGTCATCCGTCTGTATCCGAGAATCACAACTACCTCTCAATATTGGTAACATGCTTTAATATCGTGGATTGTAAGAAAGTGAGCCATAAGTCCCCTTAGATGCACATAGAACTTCATTATGTTGTGGGAATATAATTTGACAGTAACTGTTAGTTTGATGTATAAACTGTTAGGTGTTTTTAAAGGGGTTTATTCTCTACATTTCACTGTGACTACACTTTAACTTGCATGCTCTTTTATATCTTTAATTTTGAGCTACTTATTTATAGTCAGTAGTATTAAAGTAGTTCAATCATTTTATCACATCTTTTGTGAAGTGACTGAAGACATTAAAAAAAGCCATAACTATGAAGAAGTTTGACACTTGTAATCTCCCATTGCTATATTGGGTTAAAATTGCCCGATATCTGAAGACAGACTTCAATACAGCGAATATTCAGGCAGTTTGGAGACATCAACCCATAGGAGCGCATTTGCCAACAAAGGTCGAACAATGTGGAATCAATTTAACAACGGGAGATTACAAGTATCAATGAACAGCAGCTCATGCCAATTGTAGAAGAGGTTGCTGTCACACACCAGTGGTCTAGTGGATAACACTCTCGCGTTTGAAATGATGGGTACTGTGTTTGAGGCTCAGCTGAAAAGTTGTAAGTAGGACGAAACGCGCGTCCTTAACTACACTCCTAGCCATCAAGTAGACAATAGCCATACATTTGTTTAACCTTTCATCATTCTATCTTTTTGTATACGATTGCCTCGTTGTTCATCGACTTCACATGTCGCGCATATCACTTCCTAAAAACTTGTTAATTTTGTAATCTATAATTTACCTCCTGAATGCATCTCCTCCATGAATAATGCTTAAAACCCGTTTATTTGGTGTTAGACACACACTAATTGGTTGTCTTTCGACAATGCAAAAGATATCTGGACAACTCACAGCTCTAAAATAAGCATATTACAATAGAGTATTCTTAAAAAGGTTGTATATTTTCGTATTTCCTGCATCTTCGAACCTCCTTCTATTCACATGGAGAAACCAGAAATGTATATTCAAAAGATTTTTAAACCCATTCTCCTTTCATGATCTTAGTTTTCAATCTCCTCTACTCCCCATCTTCTTATTTCCAGTTTCCTGTTTGGATATATACTTGGATATACTTGACAAACCCTTTTCAACTATCAAATTCTTACACTAGAAAAAATTTATAAATTTGTGAATGTACAGGTTTGAAAATGAAATTATCTACAAGAGACACTTCATTGAAATACTCGTTCTTCTTTCATATCCTTAAAGAGGTTCCTGTTTTCCACTTCTTATCTTTTAATAATTCGATTTGAATTTTCCATGAGGAACTTAAATCATTCGAATTTCGAAAGAAGTTGTTGGGATTTGGAAATATCTCAAGTTGTTATTCATCGTAGAGTGATATCAGTTGGAGGAACAAAGGAAACCTGGGAGCACTGGATAGCCAACTGTTGCTTCCTAGTATCGGAATCCTCAACAGTGCGCACCCACTATCCTACCGTGGCCAGGGTGTTACCACTGAGCCAGTGGGTCAGAACCCAATGGTCCATATTTCCAACCTGAAGGTCGCGGGTTCGATCCCTGGCAGATGGGTGAGCACTGCTGAAGAATCCCATACTAGGACGAAACAGCTGTACTCCCAGGTTTCCTTTGCTCCTCCAGCGGATGTCAGTTTGCTATGAATAACAATCTGAAATATTTCCAGATCTCCACAACTCTCTCAAAATTCAATTGGACTGGTGCTCATTGGTGACTAGCTTCGAGAAGTATTCCCGAAGTTCCAATGAGAAGTCGTGACTGATAATGTCAAGCCTGATGGTCGTGAAAACAGTTACTCAACGATGATATTGGGTGGCGGTTGCACTATATCGTGATCTAACAGAAGTTGAAAATATGGAGCGTTCGGTTGTGATCCAGTGGCACAGTGGTAACGTGCTGACTATGGAACCTGAAGGTCGCAGGTTCGATCCCCGGAGGGCGAGGTCGTGGGTGTGCACTGCTGAGGAGTCCCATACTAGGACGAAACAGCAGCTGTCCAGTACTCCCAGGTTTCCTTTGTTCCTCTAACTGATGTCAGTCGATGATGAATAACAACTTGAACTTACATCAGCCTCATGGGGCCATGAGGAGCTGGATGGGACCATATACTCGGATAAGAAGTAATCCTGCTAAGAGATCCATTACCTCAGTACACAGTGGAATGATTCTATTCATAAACTATCCACCTAAAAAGTTCAGTTGTCTCATACAGCTTAAATGCTTTTCAAGTTATAAATTTTCCACTCCAACTTCAGCAATATGAATTGAGCAACTTTAAACTGATTGTATGAAAAGGATATTTTATTTCAGTATTGTATTATAAGAAAAAAACTTACCTGAATATTCATTGTGATTTCTTCATTCCATTCTGGATGATCTGTACCGTATTTTGTACTAGACTTCAGCTAATTATTTTTACAAAAGAGAAAAAAAAGAGAGAAGGAATGTGAAAATATTATTTTTTTCAGTTTCATTTCCGTCTGTTTTTCTTGTGCTAACTGAGATAACTTTGTCAAAAATAAATTGAAATGAACGTATAAAGAATAATGACTGTATCCGAAGGTTTGAATGAATCATAACACGTTGGAAACAGGTGAGGAACCATTGAAGATCTAGGAGTATTGAAGAGCTATTTCACAGTAGAATGTACTCATGACCCCACTGGGGATCAAACCCCAGTTCTTTAGCGGTTCAGTCTGTGATGACTACCACTTTTTGGTAGACAAATCCTCACAAACCATCAGTTTGAATCACTCTTCACTGCTTATTAGTGACATGCTTCGAGGTGAGAAGTTCTAACGACAAATCGTCATCTGTAGGGAGACCAAGTTAAGCGTTACGACGGTTACTCGATGATAGCATTGAGTTGACAGAAATAAGAAAATGTAGACCTTTAGACTATGATTTAGTTTTTCAGTCGGAGATGCTCTTGGTTGCATTGTGTTCTCTGAGCTGGGTTGTTTAATTGTGAAATTTTTATCGTCTTTCTAGACAGCGACATCATCACCACTAAATTCAGTATGAAGTGAGCTGTCAATATCTCTCCGTGAGTGATTTAGTGGCTTGCTCTGATGATGTGGTCTGTGATAGGTTGTTCCCTTTGATTGTTGTGTCATTGACTGTATAGACTTTCCTGTTGACTGTTCCTCTGCCTGACCTCTGACCTTTTTGTTGTTTATCAATTTTCTTATTGGTTGATAGAAAGCTGGAAACACAAGTGTACAGGAAGTCAACACACAGTGACAAAATCCTCAACTACAATAGCAACAACCCAACAACACACAAAATTAGTTGCGTGCAGACCCTATTCAAAAGAGCCAGAACACACTGCAGCACAACAACTTTAAGGAGAAACGAAGAAAATTACTTGATGTCCACCCTAAAGAAGAACGGATACCCACGAAACTTTATCACAAGATGACTATCTCATACATCGTGAACTACAAAGTCATCGACAGAAATCAACGCGTGCATGATCTACCATACATAAAGAATGTATCAGAAATCACGACAAGATAACTGAGACCACTTGGAATTGGTGTAGCTCATAAACCAACAAATTCCCTCCTAACACTATTATGCAGACCAAAGGATGCAACAAGCAAAGAAGACAAACCAAATATCATTTACAAAATCAACTGTAATAACCGTAGTCAACACTACATTGGACAAAGTGGCCGCCCTCTTCGCCTCCGTCTACATGAGCACCAATTGGCTATTAAACGCCACATTTCGTCACTCACTTCAATGCACGTGGATAATTATGGACATTTTGGACGTTGAGAAGAAACACAGAGAATATCAGAGAATTCGTGAGAGCTTGGCATTCAGGTCAGTCAGTCAGTCAGCAGTCAACAGATGTATAGACGTAGACCCGATCTATCAGCCAATAAGAAAACTGATAAACAACAAAAAGGTCAGAGGTCAGCAGAGGAACAGTCAACAGGAAAGTCTATACAGTCAATGACACAACAATCAAAGGGAACAACCAATCACAGACCACATCATCAGAGCAAGCCACTAAATCACTCACGGAGAGATATTGACAGCTCACTTCATACTGAAGTTAGTGGTGATGATGTCGCTGTCTAGAAAGACGATAAAACATTCACAATTAAACAACCCAGCTTAGGAACACAATACAACCTAGACCGTCCACCTGAGCTACAAATATTCTCCATTATTTCAATGGTAGATGCTTCGCTCCCAAGCCTTAACTGGTTCATCAGCTGTCAGTCCATAATGAAATAATGAGTAAATTTTCCGTGCCTTATACAGATTACAACTAAATCCAGATTTATGTACTGGAACCCAAGCCAGAAGTTTAATTGCTGTTGATGATGCTTATCAACTGCCAAACTGGAAATGAAAGAGGCTTGAGTGAATGTGTTGCTCACTGATTGAAGACTAAGTTATATCTTGAAGAGTAAACGTGAAGTAAAGCCTGCACTAGGGGGATTCGAACCAACAGACTCCAAGTCCTCAATCTGGTAGTCAACGACACTGCGTTTTGAGTGATAGGCGTAGAGTTCGAGTCCTAGTGGGAACAATATCGCTCACTTGGAGGTAGGGGCATCCAGCTGACGAGTCTCACATAGGAGGAAACATGAATCCTGGATCCACTGCTAGACACTGTCCACCATTAACCTCACTTTCTGAAAGGAAAAAACACTCAGCTGGATAAAAAATAAACAAGACTGTATTCAGTGTTACCAAGGGATCAGAAGATATTTTAGTGTCAACACTTGGATTATTATTTTCAGTATCCGTTCAATACATTCAGGTAGACATGGTAACATTGAAATATAGGACGTCTTGTGAAGGGTAAATTCAGATACAGCCAACTGCTTGTTATCCTTTGCCCTCGTTTCAACAAATTTGGAGATAAACCAAAGATTACCGATGAGGAAAACTATGCGAATAGTCAATTAACTCATAATTGATTTCTATTTACAAAAATTGTGAATGGACACAAGTAGACTACTATTAGTAGTATGATTATAAACTCCTAATAATCCAACATGATTATGGTAGTCTAAACGCTATGGCCTATGAAATCTTAGAAGCATCAAAGATTATATATATGCGTGACTAACTAAAGCTACTAACTGAATTTCCACTTTTTTCAGCCATTTATGATGAACACTAATGATGAATTTGATCTCATTTGAAAAGTCTTGACAATGCTGTATTCTCCATGCGAGATAATAGTTTGGAGTTGTAGTACACTACTCTAGGTACTTGACTTTCAACCAACACTTTACGGGTTCAAATCCGGCTCCACCTACAGACATTTGGGCAGACAGACAGTGATATCATAACCCACCACACTACAGATGTTACTTATTGCCTACTACATGAATGTGCACATGATTACTAAGTGCATTTTGAGATGATGCTTTAATCGATTATATCAGTTCATCTGCAAGCATCTATACCACTTTTGCAAGGAATAACGTTTCGCGCTAAGGAAGAAACATTGACTTCGGGTTTTATTGTTCAAAATCAAACATTTCCATTACTTCAAGTAATCCATGAATTATTTCTTCTTTACAAATTTCATAGAAAAATGGCGTGAGTAATTCAACAACTTACCGATTTGCCAGCAAATGAAACCACTGCATAAGGGTCTACAAATTCTTTCTCCTCATCAGATTTAGAGATTAAATTCTTAATTCCCTTAAATGCATCGGAATCCACTGTAAGTTTAAAAACATAATCATGAAATCGTGTAAACATTTCAAGAAAAAGTTAAACTACTTTTATATTTTTAAGTAGCCAGTCGTTTAAGTGCTACAACAACTTACTGGACTGTGTTTAGTTTCGTGTTTATTATTAGTTGGCAGCAAAATGTGTCTGCCGTCATAAGGATACTGTTGTTCCCTCGGAGATATAGACTTCTGCCACTTATTATTGAGGTTGGAGACGTCATCATACTAGTTTCGCTATGCCATTCCCAGATCTTTATGGTTTACATAAACTACGCAAACCCAACAACCCGTTACGTCCTATGATGTCTATGTACAAATCGCCGACGTATACGCTTGCCCGCTGGCTGGTGGAATTATTAGATTCTATTAAGAAGGTATTCTGTAAGTATTCCTTCAGAAGATACATCTGAAGTAATCAAATGTCTGAAGATGTCAGCACAAAAAGTATTCATTAACTCATTATTCACCAGTGTCCCTTGGATGAAGACAGATGACATTTCATGTGGTAATATTTCGATGCATAACTTTACAATGCTCATTTCTTTCGACCATTTATAAGTCCTACTGTCTTTATATACCGAAATATTGAACTTCCATTGGAGGTGAACATTTCCATCAAGTTGACGATGTTGCCTTGGCAAGTTCATTAAAACCCCCTCTTAGCAAACATATTGTTCTGACATATGGAAAACTTAGCTAAGAACCTAACTGAGCAAGCCCATCTGTATCGAAGATATGTCAACGATATTCTAATTATTTGTGATAAATCGAGTCAGTTCACTTTAATGTTAAACCGATTGAATAAAATTCAGACCGGCATATCCTTGATATGTGTAGAACAGGATGATGACTGCTTGTCTTTCTTAAACATATTAATTAGTCGGGGACAGGATAATATTTGAAATATCATGGATTTTGTCCAATTCCGTGTAAGAGAGCGTTAGTTAGAGGCTTATTCAGTAGAATTCAAAGAATATCCACAGATGACATTTAGGAGAACAAAAAAGAACCTTGAATGGGATCCTGTTGGAAAGTAACTATTTAGTGGAGGAAAAGTGTTTTTATCAGTCTTCCGTAGAAAGGCGACTGTCATAGTGTAGTCCTTAGGCAGACACTAAACACTGCTGTTAGAAGGGCTTATTATGCAACTAGGGTTCGGTTACTAGAAACCACCAATCCTGTCTATCTTCCCAAACCCTTACAGCATGTGAAGGACAACGTCACATCCTACTGCATCTACCAGTTCATATGTGTGTGTGTGGTGACATTTATATGAAGGACTCATTGATCCATGCCAGTAAGGGCCTCGAAACATATTCCAAAGTGGCTTAAGAAGCAAATTGAATCATATGAACCCATAAGTTGATTGCAGACGTCAAAGTTCTTTGATCGTGAAACATATCGTTGAAATAGGTCACAGGATTGATGTGGCTACTTTTTTACCCCTATTTACAAGATGTGTTGGGGGTGGATCCTTAAATTTGTTGAGGCCTTAGCTATTAGGAAGTTTAAACCCCGTTTGTGTGCTTATAAATAATTTGTTGTCATTATTACTATTTATTGACATACTTGTTATTCTCCGTTGTTTCGTTGGATTGAATTGTTTGACCTCTATTGGCATATGGGCTCCTATACAGATGCCTCAATATTGCCTGAATGTTAATTATGATAATTTGGTTGGTTTTGGCCAGCAGAAGAATCCAGTACGAGTGTACGAGGTTTGAGCGTAAGTGGGAACGACATCACTGGGGTGCAGTTACATCCAGCTGACTAGTCCCAAGTAAGATGAAACGCGCATCCTGGATTCTTCTGCTAGCCTTCTGACTTGACCTTTTTCATTTTCTTCCCACTTATCTTCACAAATTTTCATGCAATAAATGCCTATGACACGTACGTGTGGGTGATCAGATAGGTTCGAAATATACTGCCCAAATACATTACACGGTTTAGACAGTTTACATCTTTTTTCATCATTGACTGACAAGAGTTGGAAGAACATTAGAAACCTCTGTAGTAGGCATCCACAACCTCATGGATGCGTTCTACTGAAAAGTCTTATGTTAAGAAGAGACAACTGTCCAGTTCTCCCAGGTTTTCAATATTCTTCCAACTGGAAAAATAGTTAAATCGTCACAAACCCCCAAAATTAAATTTAAGTCTTCTCGTTGTTTTGTCTGAAGTAATTTGGCAGTTGCTTTAACACTATGGAATACCACAAACCTTTATCAGCCTCATTCAACAACTATATGAAGACGCTGCATGCCAAGTAATTCATAATGGAAAGCTCAGTGATGCTAATGAATTTGAAGACAGGAATGAAACAAGGCAGCCACCTACGATCACGCATGATATTCTGATTGTAGTGGACTGGATCATGCAACAAACGATTAGGAGCGAGAAGAGAGGGATGAACTGGACCGCGGAAAAGAACCTAGAAGACTTGGATTTCTCCGATGACTTGTGTCTGATGTCGCATAAAATTGAAGATCTACAGGCGAAAACTAACAAGTTGACAGAAGAGGCAGCGAATGGAGACTGGATTTCCTTCAGGTGAACGTAGAGAAGACAGAGGTGATGAAGATACCCAACCAACAACACCAACAAACTCCAATCACCATCAATAGGAGAAACTTAAATGAAGTAGCTTCCTTCACCTATCTAGGAAGCACTGTTTCAACTACAGGCGGCACAGACGAGGATGTCAAAGCCAGAATCGGAAAAGCAAGACAGGCATTCATTAGCCTGAAACCAGTGTGGATATCTTCTGCACTCAGCATGAGGAACAAGATCCGGATTTTCAACACCTATGTCAAATCAGTGCTTCTATATGGTTGAGAGACTTGGCGCGTTACGAAAGGGATTTCCAACAAACTACAGACATCAACAACTGCCTACTCTGACTCATTGCTGAAGCTCAGATGGTCAGGAATAATAAGCAAAAAGGAACCCTGGGAACGAACCAACGAAGCAGAAACCTATCACCCAACAAATATGGAGTAGAAGAAAGTGGGGATGGATTGGGCATACACTGAGAAGGCTGACTGGGACATCACGCGTCAGGCCAGTTGCTCGAGTGGAACCCGTATGGGAAGCGATGAGTTGGGCGTCCGTGTCGAGGGTGACATGGAGGAGATCATACGAGGAGGAAATGAGAGCTTCTGGGCTGTCGTGCAGTCAGGTCCGAATGTTGGAGAGAACAGAGTGCTACTGAAGTCCTGTGTTTCATTAGGAACCTAAGGGACAAATAATAATATTGTTTTTTCAGTTTGTAAAGGAGAGTAACTGTTTTAAATGGTTATTTGTAAAAAAAATATAGGAGGATGTTTTCAGTTGACAGCCCCTAACAACATTCATTTTAATACTGTTAGAAATTGAACCATTTCAAGAATTTATGCAAACTATTAGTATCATTCAGTGTTTATTCATTGTTTATACATCGTTGAAATCATAAATGAACAGTGTGAACTCCTTCCTGCTTCAGAAAATGAATTTCACACAACTGTTGCTACTTTACTGAAAAATGTACCATATATCTAATATATTGGTAGGGAGTTAGTGCTTAGATTCACTCCACTTTGTTATTTTTAGCAGGATAAAATATGAATTCCAGCTGTTCGAATAGTTTAACACAGCCAACCTTGACCTGAAGTCAGCATTTTAACTACCCTAGGGTTATTCTGTCAGTTACCAACAAAATATGCTTAAAGCATCTAAGTTATGCTGAGAAAACACAAGTCTTGGGGAAGCGAAAATTAGCGTTCACAGATACTACTGAGAACTGCAGACGTTTAAGCAATACATCACTAATGAATAATAATAATTATCATTTCTCTCTTGGATTCCTAGTGGAACATAGAGCTTCAGTAGCACATTCATTTCACCAAGTGCCTCTCGACTCATGATGAGTTCTCTTCCTGTGTTGTCACTCTCAGTTTGACATTCATGTCACCCCACCCATTAGAATTTTGATGTCACCATCTGGAGTGGAGTCCTGTCCATTACTGATTTCAGTTGTTTGTAGAATTCCTCCTTCTTCTCTTCATCTTCATTATTTGTAGATGCATAGTGTAGTATTGTATGATTGTGAATTTCCTTCCTTTTCAGTTGAATCTTGTTGTCATGAGTAATACCGTCTCTCAACTTCATGGCTTTTTTACTTTGGTGCAATCTAAATTCCGAAATTCATCACTGTCTCGAATATTTGAAGTATGTCATGGATTTATTTGTTTTCATAGTGTGTACACTTCATTCCTTAAAAACTTTTGTGTTATTGTTTTGCTCAAAGGTTTTATTATTCTTCAGCCATTCCATATTAGTAGAAAGACCATTTTCGAGAGGATCAGCCTGGTATATATGCTATTTCACCATTGGTGTATGGAGAAAAAGTAAAGAAGTCTCAGGTGAATCATAGGAATCGGCAGGAAGCCATGCTTAACTTGTGTTTTGTCCGTGTTGGGACTCTCCAGAAAGATGTTTCTGTAGTTTCTAGGGGACTCGTGTCCCCTTTGGAGTTCGAACTCGTGTTACCCAGGGACACTATAGATGAGGTATTCAAGCCACTATTGACCATCTTTAGGACTGAACTAGGTACACTGATTAGATACTGGAAACAGAAACCAATTTCATGGTGTCTCTTCTTGGGTAATGATCAAATTCTTTCACTGTCGTTCACTAATCTAGGAATTCTATCATCACGGTACTCTTTGATAGATATTAATTGGATGAAAGCAATCGCCATGGAATCCTGCTCCACTTAAGTTTTGATGCTTGTTGATGTTCATCATTAAGATGGTTTTGCAATCTCAAACGAACTAATATCATTATAGTTGGATTTTCAATGATTATTCATTTTGAAAACCGGTATATTCTTTTTGCAAGATAATAAACTTTTAACTTACTTCTTGGCAAATCTTCAGCCATATATAGTAAAATTTTGAAGACTGCTGGTCTTAACTGAACACCAGCTGGACGTAGAAGATTTCTAAATAAAAAAACAAATTGAATAGTTCACAAGTATGGGGGATAATATGAACAGAGAGATGGACAAAATGAATGCCTAATCTCGCACACAACTGTACCGGCTCAACTTACTGAACTTCATAATAGTATACAGAGAACATAAGGATAGAATAAGAGGGATATCGAAGTAGCCAAGATTGTATGGAGACTAAACAATTCGAAGATGAAGGTTAGTGTGAGTATTTAAGCTTTAGAAGATGGCGAGGAGTAGATTCACGTACACCATCTTGACCGATTCTCAGTCATGTTACCAAGAGTCTTTAACCCCTAATTCCTATATTCTTGGACACCTCACTTAGGTAGTCTTGGTTTGACCATCCTAAACCTTCTTCCAACGTAATCCGATTTCTGGAAGTATGCCTCGTATGCGCTACATCATTTCAGTCGACTAAGGTCCATAATATTATCAATCAACTTGTCTGCCTTGCTTTACCGAGGAAATTGAACAGGGTCAGGAAGAAAAAACTCCAACCTTAAAGGAATAATCGAAAAAGTAGTTTCGATAGGAACCATTTAGGTAGAGTTCACTATATTTTATTCTCTTTCAGTAGTAGAAGTATCAAGAAAGCTGCTGCATATTCATCAGTAATTTCAATTCCGAGACCTATTTAATTATGTCCTAAGGCAGTGAGTAACATAATCTCAGGAAAAGCCTGTAGAAAGTGAAAACCCTTCTAGTTATTGACTCCTCTTATCGAGATTATTCTGGTTTTTCACCTGGAAATATCGTATGATTGATGTTCTGTTTTATGATTCTTGACGTTTGCCCCTTCCCAGGTATGTCATTGACCCTTTCAGAAAATATTAGGAAGAGGAAATTTTCCATACCAAGTGATTATTACAGTAGTCTAGATATACTTTCATCAAGAGTGGAGAGTGACAAACCTCAAGTCGTATAAAAAAGTGCAGTAAATACATATCCAATGCTCTTGAAATCTGATGATATACACTGCAAAACAGCCACTCAATTGCTAGACATATCAGACTGATTGGATCACCGCACGGCTTTTCGCTCGTTTCAAACCGAACTCATCCATCAGTAGTCTATTAGGACACATTCAGCTCACAGAATCGAAATCCACTTAACAACCTAAATGATTTTTAACTACTCAATTAGTTTTTGAGTAGTATCTTCTACTAGTTTATCAAAGATCACACCATTGTGATCTTGGCTAGAGGGGAAGGGTATGTTTTCCAGCGGATATCCTGTTGACACCACAGCTTGATAGTTGAAAACCCCTCAGCTGTAAGTTATGTTAAATTGTTCATCTTATACCCTGAAACATTTTCTAACCCTAATTCTGACTACTACAACTAAACGCCTAAAGTTATAGACTACCTAAAAGGAGAAACGGTTATAAACTGCCAGTAGTTATGATAGCTACTCTCTGATCAGAGTAAATGAAGCTAATCTGAACATTAGATAACTTTCCAGATGGCAAACCTATTCATGAGTTGCATGGAATGATTCAGTGGAAGTGTCAAATTATTCAAATCATCACCATGCTGATAAGTTGCTTAGGTGAACTGGTAACCTACCTACAAATCAAGGATTTTGTAAGCTTCTTATTAAATGATGAGAATAGTACAATTAAACATACCAAACTGTGAATTGTGATGTGGATTTTCAACCAGTCATGATGATTAACCGTACACATCGTACAGTTTTGTGGTCTTTTAGTTATAACATGGAATCTTTTCATATGTAGTTGGTTCTATTGAAGACTGGGAATAGATGTTAAAATTGGGCAATGTGGTACAATATAATTTCATATTAGATTGTTTATTCGATACAACATACAGTGGTACACCAGTATTTACTTATTTGATGACCTTTCCAGCATAAATTATTGTTCATAATCAGATCAAAGTAATCACATAGCATTCGACATTTGAATTTCATTGTTCTGTCACCTCGCATTGTTTGCTTTCAGTAGTTGTAAATGTTCCACATGTGTTAGGTGTTAATTGGATGAACAGAGATATAGCGATCAATCCCTTTCAACATACTTATATTGGACTTAAGCAGTAGAATGCTTTTATCCACCCACCCTATTGTGTGGTTATGTGTTATTGAATCCAATGCAATAGCCAAGTGCTTTTCTACATTTTTGATCTTATTCGGATCTGTCATTCTATAGTTAGTTAAATTCCTATGTTCCGCTATTCTACCTGACACCGACTCGCTACTTCGACCTTGTACTTCACCTGACTCATAGTCATTACATGGAACCTCATAGATTATATTACTTTGCTGAGTTGGTTCTATCGGATCCTTAAGCCAGCTGACAAAGCTTATCTCTGAGTGAGTTTGTAAGCTTAAATGTCACCCTAGTCTCAGCCTTATTGAGAATCCTACATGAATTTTCTGATATACCTTCCTTATAGGGTAACACAATGGAGACTGTGAACTTTCTACTTGTGTTGTCGTTATTATTGGTACTCGTGTTACTGTTATCATTTTGTTTCTTGTATGTGTGTACGAATTTCTTCATAAACTGCAGAGGATGATTAGTAACCATTAGTGTTTCTTTCGTGTACTTGAGTTCCTCGTTTAGGTCCTGCCTAGTTAGTTTTCTAGCTCTATCATTTAGACGCTTCACTAATCCCGCCTTAACTGACATTCAGTGGATTAGGTGACTTGAAGTCTAGATACCCGCTGGAATGTTCTTAATTCTTCAAGTCTGTAATACTGTATCACTATGTGGTATATAATATAAACAAATATAATTTGGAAGACTGTGTAGTCTTAAGACCGATTTCATTGACCCTTTTTTATGCTTTCAGGTTGTTTTTTTTTAATAAAGTCATCATTTCAGTGCCAAATATAGTACACAGAAGTGAAATTTATTCTGTTGTTGTGGAGGGTGAAAATTATTTCAGATTAACAAGTTTTTGAAAAAAAACCCTCTTGGACAGTAGAAGCATAGAGAAAAGACCTAGAAATATTTCACATTTCAGATTATGGTCTAATACTGACTGATATAATTTGACGAGAAATTCATTCAAGTTTAAATGAACCATCATATATTAGAAGCTTAAGGATTACCAGACCACGGTTGAAGAAACCCAAATGGGACGAAACACATATCCTAGATTCTACTAATAACCACTTCAATAACAATTACTACGGAAAGATTATACAGATATTATTGAAGTAATTAAACGAGGAGACGAGATACTAACAGTGATCAGTGAATTTCTTTGTCGATAAACCAACATTTTCAAGTTATAAGTCAAGGTGTTTACTTTTGTTATATGAGCATGTATAGAATACACAAATCACTGATAAATCATGACAATTAAACATGAATGAACATAAAATTGAATTTTTTTTTCTTTTTTGAGAGAAAAGTGATTATGCTGTATGATTATTAATCACTGGTTGTGTATAACAAAATAAATAGTTCTGTAAATAAGTTAGAAAGGTCAAAAGTGTACCATACTCTCATAATTATCGAAACTAATCTAAAACATACTTATATATATTTGAAAGAAATATTCAATTAATCATATAGTAAATAAATATAGTATTCATTATGTCTTGATATCATTTAGAGAGTTATTGAAAACTTGATAATACTGAGGAACTCTTCAGCAGTGCTTACTCATGAAGCCGATAGGAGTTGATTGAACGACTGCTAGATCTCAAGGTTAGCTAGTGGATGTGTACTATTGACGATGCTTATAGTATGTTGGATCAACTATTCAGTACTCTTAGGTTTTCAATGATTCTTAAAATAATGTCAGTCCATACTGAATACTAACTTGGAATCGATCTACTCCCTGCCCAAACCTTCGAATTGAATAAATAAGAGAAGGATAAAGTCAAATTCTTTCACTTACCCTTCAATATCTTCTTTCTCATCCGCTTCAACAGCTTTCATACTCTGAAAATCGAAAGAAATAAAGACTTAAAAATTATTTAATATGTGATAATTTATGGCTATAAAATATCTTGTTATCATCTGGAACTTTCAATATGGAATGCTTAAAGGTGACTTAAATGTGGAGTCACTACCTGTATTATCCCTCGTTTAAATCTTGTCAAGCAGATGCCTACCCTTCAGCATCACTTATTATCTGCATATAGATAGAATCTCTGTTAACCGAGGTTATCCCCCAGATGGTCTAATTTCTTGTCTACATAAAACCTTAAGGTACTGGCTTTAATCTTTTATCAGATGAGGAATGCACACTGGTGAAGTATTACTAACCTGGGATGTAGGAACTGTCAAAAGCCACTAACTTTTCAACCGGTTATTTTCTCTTCAGCTGAAATCATCCTATTGTGAAGAGTAGTCGAATGGAACACTTAGACTGGCACCAGAAGATCCATAAAGAAGACAAAACTCACAAAAAGGAGATTGGTAAGGATCTACTAGAACAAAGGAGATATGGATTCAACATACTTAGAACCACAATTAAACAAACCAAGAAACACAGAAGGCAACAGTGAAACAAGTATCAACACTTACAGGTGCTTCATCACCAGGTTCCAAGATGACAACTGATATCTTTAAATAACCTCTAGCTCCAGACATTGGATCATCTGGATTACATAATAATAACCATTTATTGATCATTGAATGACGATCAGATTCATAAACTAATGATAAATCAAATCTGAAAGAACCAATCAAGGCATCACGTCGTAGCCGACGTGAATCGTAGACAGTGAACACAAGTTGTTGATCTAATAATTCAGCAGCTGAATTAAAATAATTGAAAAAGAATATTTGATCCCAAAATGGTGAATTAGTACAATTGCGAACACGTGTATCTTTGCTTTCTTTCCAACAGGTCACTTTACAGATTGGTGAAATATTTGCACCTTGTAGTTGACGAGCTTCAACCACCTTTACACGAATCTATAGAGAAAATAAAAAATAAAATTCAACAAATAACAATGGGGAGTTATAAGCAATAACATTAAAAGTATACCCGTTGTACAAGAAGTGGCTGTCATCGCTTAGCTACCTAGTGGATTAAACGTTCTGGCGTTTAAGGTACTACGTTCTAGATTTGAGTCTCAGTGGGAACAACATCACTCACTGCGAAACATGTACACCCAGCTGACAAATACTAAATGGGACGAAACGGGCATACTGGATTTCAGTGCTAGCCACTATCCACTACTACTACTACTAAGTGCAGTAAAGTTTAGTATACTCAAAAATTAAGTGAACGAAAAACATTATAGAATGCACCTTGGTCTTCGTGTAGTTTGCTCTGTTCTTTGAAAGTACAAGATGTGAAGAGACTAAAGGTCTTCCAAAGCAGCGGTATTCACAACATTTTTCACGAGTGACGGGTCTTCAGCGACTGAGATGGCTTGGACATGTGCTGCGCATGCCAAGTCACCGCTTATCTTAATCTACGATGTTAGCTGAAGTATACAATTGGCCTTAAAGAAAGCTCAAGATGGCTAGACCAAGACATGGCACCAGTCTACAAAGTTTCTGATTGTTGATCTGAGTCATACAGACAGGTGTAAACCACATGGTTGGCGTCTATGAGATGATAGGAGATGAAGACATGACTGAAAATCGATCACCATGATGTAGATGTATTCATAATTTGATGCTTTCATTTTCCGAATATCTTTACAAGAAAGTATTAAGTTAATATTAAGGTTGGAGTTTCATTAATCATGGAATTCAGTCTGAACACACTGAACATCGAATACGTCTACACAGGATTATAGATTTGAGAATGATTTATGGAATATACGCTTCAACTTGACAATTGTCAACGTTGAGCAGTTTTTCAACTAATCACATCCAGTGATGTCAACGAGGTTGCCATGGATAGCGTATACACAGTACACAAATCAAGTGTACCAGAAGACTGAAGTTGATAATCTCTACTAAATGATTTACCATGACTTCAGTCTAATTTATTATGAACATTTAAAAGGTTTTACATGCGGTAGTAGTGAATATAAAGGCGTCGCTAGCTAACACCCTGTAAATATTGTTAGTGCGTTCCTAGTTTATTGTCATCTTATTATTTATCGTTTTGGTACCTGGTGCGAAATAGGGCTTCAGTAGTACGTTGCCATTTCACTCTCCTCTCTACAGTCTTTTCAATCCGACTCCACCACTCCCTAGAAGATTTCATTTCTTCCTCACACGATCTTCTGCATGTCACTCTCAGCTCAGACACCCAACTCGCCGTTTCCCATGCGGGTTCCACTCGACGACCAGGCCTGGCGCGTGATTTCTCTGAATGGTCTTCTCAGTGTATGCCCGATACATCCCCACTTTCTGCTTCTGCATATTTGTTAGGCGATAGGTTCTTGCTCCGTTGGTTCGTTATCAACCAGGCCAAATTTCCTTGATCCTTGTTGCTTATTCTCATTATTCTAGCCATCTGATCTTCAGTGTCAGTATCGAGTGAGCGTAGGTGGCAGTAACTCATGTGATGCATGTCTATAGTTTGTTTGAAATGCTTTTCGTGACACGCCAAGTCTCTCAACTATCACATAGAAACACTGCCTTACTTAACTGACATTAGTGTTGAAAATCCGAATCTTGTTCACGCTTTATGCTGAATGGAGTAGATCTCCACACTGATCTCAGGTTAATGAAGGCCTATCTTGCTCTCTTTCTGATCAGCTAACTACGTTGTTTGTCTTTCTGTCACTATGCATTAAACTATACTTAAATACCTATTCACTCGATAACTGTGAGGTGTTGGGACAATGTCTGACTGTGAAGGGAGCTTCGAGCAAGTAAGCAACGCTAATCAAGGCTCTCTACTCGAACTCACGCAGATGGGTTAAGTTTTATGGAGAGTTGTCATTTGAATGGAGGACAAATAGCGGTGTCCGAATGGATGCGCACCATCACAACTTCGATTTAACTTCATTATACATGCACTAATGGACGTTCCATAAGGTACGCTTGACTTTATGGGGATTATCCAACATTCTGGAAGTCATCCAGTTAGGTGAAGATGCTGATAAAATACAGGTGGGGTCTTCTAGACGCCTTGGGCAGATATTTGAGTATGTATGGCATGCATTTCGCTTGCACCGGTCGAATATGAGTTGATGCTTAAGGATTGGTATGCAACTACTCCCAATGTGAAGGTAGAGAGTTAAGTGTTGGAATGCGTTGACTACTTCATTTACTTATGGAGTTGCATCATCACAAACGGGCTGGTTCCTCACAGAATCCAGCTGGGACACAGAAAACCCCTTTTGTTTGGCCAGCTTGCGTCATCTGTGGTGACGACTGACACGATATGTCACTATCTATCAAAGAAAGAGTACACTGCCCTGCAGTCTATTCTGTCCTGTTATACGGCTGTGAAATATGCCCGTTAAAAGTAAAAACTACCAATCGATTACTGGGTTTTGATCACAGAACGATCAGTGTGCATGATATAAAGCACTTTTTAGCTGAGCCATCCGTTTTACCTCTTCTGTTTGCTTCACTGGTTAGTAATGATAACTGCAGTACCAAATTTAGGTTTGTGTTAGTGTTCCCTCCAGCTAATTTTCTTTATAACCCCCGAAAGGTTAACTTGCGATATATTTCACCCCAAGAGAGATTATACATTCGTTTATGGTGAATTAACTTCATTCAGCAGCTATATGATGATGCCATATGCCTAGTAATTGACAATGGAAAGCTCAGTGATGCCTTTGAATTAAAACAGGAAACAAGACGAGGTTGCCCCCTACTATCACTGATGATCATGTTGATTGTGGTCAACTAGACTGGACTGGATCAAGCAGCAAACCGTGAGGAGCGAGAAGATGGGCATACGCTGTTTGATCCGATGAAAAGACCCTAGAAGATTTGGATTTCACCGGTGATGATTTATGTCTAGTATCGCACCAACTCGAAGATCTACAACCAAAAACCAACAAGTTGGCAAAAGAGACAGGGCAGCGAAGACGGAACTTCTTTCAAGTAAACGTAAAGAAGATAGTGGTGATGAAGATACCCAACCAGCCACAACAAGCTCCAATCACCTTCATCGGCAGAAACCAAAAGGAAGTAGTCTCATTCATCCACACCTACCTAGGCAGGGCAGCATCGTTTCAACTGTAGGCGGCACTGGCAGAGATGAGGACGTCAGAGACAGGATTGGAAAGAGAGCAAGATAGGCCTTCATTAACCTGAGATCAGTGTGGAGATCTACTCCATTCAGCATAAAGCGTGAACAAGATTCGGATTTTCAACACTAATGTCAGTTAAGTAAGGCAGTGTTTCTATGTGATAGTTGAGAGACTTGGCGTGTCACGAAAAGCATTTCCAACAAACTATAGACATGCATCACATGAGTTACTGCCACCTACGCTCACTCGATACTGACACTGAAGATCAGATGGCTAGAATAATGAGAATAAGCAACAAGGATCAAGGAAATTTGGCCTGGTTGATAACGAACCAACGGAGCAAGAACCTATCGCCTAACAAATATGCAGAAGCAGAAAGTGGGGATGTATCGGGCATACACTGAGAAGACCATTCAGAGAAATCACGCGCCAGGCCTGGTCGTCGAGTGGGACCCGCATGGGAAACGGCGAGTTGGGTGTCTGAGCTGAGAGTGACATGCAGAAGATCGTGTGAGGAAGAAATGAAATCTTCTAGGGAGTGGTGGAGTCGGATTGAAAAGACTGTAGAGAGGAGAGTGAAATGGCAACGTACTACTGTAGCATTTTTTTTCACTAGGAACAATATGGTCAAATAAAAACTACATGTATGTAATAACGGTGAATTGCTTGGTGTAAAAGCACAATATCTCACCATTTACTCTTATTTTTAGTGTTTTAGAAGTAATGTGAGGAGACTGACCTCGGGCTTTAAGACGACTGCCTACTGATTAAATTTATTATGTTGGACTGTACATTTATGAAACGCAGTGCTTAAATGAAACTTACTATGCTTTTGGATACCAATGTAAAGTGAAGCTACTCAAAAGGAACTGGCCTTAGTTTGTATTTGAATGATCTTAGTAACAACTACAAACCCTGATCAACTTGCCAATCGAAGCTTTTTGTGTAATGAACATCTGTGTACCTGAACTGCTCAGCATTCAATAACGAATTGTCAGGTAAACTTACATTCCTTATTATTCGGAGAGTAAATTACACTATTCAAATATACTAACTCTATAGTAGATACGTTTAAAGAATTCCAAGACATATTCTATAAATAAGTCGAGATGAATAAACGTATCAATATTGTGTATCTACATAAGATAATCTGGTTTATATTAATCACGAACAGTGGCTTGCGGTGGAATATAGGAGTCATGTTTTGTCCTATTTGGGACTAGTCAGTGAGCAATGTTATTCTTATCAAGACTTGAACTCGAGATCGGTTGCCTTAAACACCAGAACGTTATCTCTTGGGTTACTGAGTCACGACAGCAACTTCTTGTGCGATGCAGGAAACCTTATGCCAATAAAAACTGACTAGTATGGTATAATCAACAATGCAATAACATAAGCAACGAGATTAGAGTTAAACTCTTGGATAATGCCCTTGTGTTGGGGTTGGAATCTTAGTGGAAACAACTTGTCTCACTTGGTGGCAGGTACATTCAGTTGACGAATGAGTAACAACTTAGGCAAAATGCGTATCCTAGATTCTATTGTTAGTCCCTTTTCATCATTAATATAAAACTGAAACACAGGTAATATCGAGGCTTCTTCACAAGAACTCATATGCCCACACAGACCTATCACAATTTGGTTCAGTTATTATTGTTATTGATTACTTTTCTCTTGGGTTCCTAGTGGAACATAGGGCTTCAGTAGCACGTCTCTAGTCCACTCTGTTTTCCTCAATCTTTTGAACCTGCCTCCACAACTGCCCACAAGCTGTCATTTTTTCCTCACCTGATCTCC